CTGGGACTCCCACAGCCCAGGGACTGATGGTGGGATGGGGGGTTTGCCATGAGTTTCTCAGGATTGCTTTTATGTGGATAGGACCAGACTGTAACAGCACTGCCCGGTCCAAACCCCTCTGAATTCAGATTTTGGTCTGTGCAGCCCAGGCCCTGATAATCTGGAGTGGCAGCATATTTTTAAACAACCTCAGATGACAAAAGCTGTTGGAATGAAATCCCGGGAGTTAGTGCCACGACACCATCATTAAGTCACAGGGAAATGTTTACAGCTTTCCCACCCTGGACAGGAGCCACACACTTTCCTTTACTGCAGTAATTCTGCAGTCCATCCCTTCTCTGTTAGCTTTGCACTCTCAGAAAGCAGCTGGTTCACTTCAACAAGGTGCTGAAAAATGCTTTAAACTTATTCCCTTGTTTTTCACCCCACGCTGACCAAGCCAGGACCTGCCCTAAGGAACTGGTTCCTTTCCCTGTGCTAATTTTCTCTGGATAATTGCCACAAAGTCACCTGAGAGAGAGTATTCGCCCTTGCTGCTCTCACTGTCCCGGACAAGGAAGGAGCCATGCTGGTTGGGAGGCGAGAGGAGGAGCTGTTCCGCTTCGTTTCGGCTAATCTTGCTGAAGTACCAGCTGGGGAGCAGAGCAGAGGGGTCAGTGCAGCGTAAGGGGATGGTGCATGGATGGAGCTGCATCCATATCAGGGCATCCTGCACCTTCTGAGCCAGGGAGGGGGAGCAGCTCCTGGGATCCCACTTTTTGCTCATCCTTGCAGCCACCAAGCAAGTGGCACAGCAGCCAGTCCATGTCTCAGAACCTGTAAGTGTGGCTGCCTGCATCAGGGCTGTTTTATTGGGTGGATTCTGCAGGCACTTCCTGCAGTTTATTGCAGCTCACTGACTGCAAACCATTTCATAGAATCAGAGAATGCAAGAATGGTTGGGGTTGGAAGGGACCCTAAAACTCATCTCACTCCATTCCTCTTGCCATGGGTAGGGACACCTTCCACTAGACCAGGTTGCTCAATGCCCCATCCCACCTGGCTTTGAACACTTCCAGGGATGGGGCATTTCCTCCATCAGTGTCTGAACACCACTGTATTGAGCTGTCCAGGTCTCAGCCCCATCCCAAACCCGGGAGGTTTACACCCGTGGCTCAGTGCTGCACCTCGGCCCACAGCCTGTGGTGAATGAAGCAACAACCACCTGGTGTTGTGTGCAGGATGCTCTGGTGGGGTTGTACGTGTGTCCTGCCACGAGAGCAACACCTGCAGGCACAGGATCACTTTGCACTTCTTGACCTGCAGTTTATAGACAGAAGCAACTCTAAGCCCATGAGGAAATGGCATCAGTGAAAACACCTGGTTGGGGACTTCACAGTCCCTAGACAGGAGGACCAGCCAAACCCCTCTGATGTGTCACAGCACTGAGATTCATCACTGACTCCCCATCAAGGAAAGGCAGGTTGGCTGGTTGCGTCCCGATGCAGCGGGATGCACGGGAGTGTGGGGAACCCCATCCAGCCTAAGGCAACCAAGACGTGAGAAGCTGAAGGTTTCGTCATTAGCTGGGATCACCAGCGTCTGAGAAGCCGTGCAGGAAATTATATGTGATGGGGTTACAGCAGCTGAACAAATTACCACCCAGCTCCGACCTGCGGCTCCGCAGAGTCTGTGTGCTCGTTACTGCCATCCGCCCTCCCAGCCTCGGCATCCTCCTCACCCCTGTCCTCGGGATGGGGCTGGGCACCAGCTGTGCATGGCTGGTGCACACACACACATTCACACAAACACATACACGTGCACACACGCACACACGTGCACACAAACACATACATGTGCACACAAACACATACACGTGCACACACGCACACACGTGCACACAAACACATACATGTGCACACAAACACATACACGTGCACACACACACACACGTGCACACAAACACATACATGTGCACACAAACACACACACACTCCGCTCTAGCCTGTCCAACTGTCCCCTCAAAGCTCACGCAGGGAGGGTCTCTCCCATCCCACCGGCTGCCAGCATTGACTCTTCACATTGGGGACCCTTCCCAGGCTTCTCCTGCTCCTTTCTTTGACCGTCACTCACACAGCACAGGGCCAGCGCGGGGGGGTCTCCAGGGACACACCCGCCCCAGCCCGGCGCTCCCCGGCACTCGCACTTGGCGTGACTCAGGGCCAGGAGCAGAGGGAACAGCAGTGTCTCGGGGCACTTTGCCCGACGTGTCGGGACCAGGCTGCCTTATGCAACGATGAGTCTGGGCTTTCCCCAGCTGACAGAAGGCTGAGACATCACCCCGAGCTCCGTGTCGGCTGGGAGAGGCACCGATAGGGAGGGACCCCCCCAGCTCCGGATAAGCAGGAGCCAGATGGCAGAAGCAGCAGCACTACATCTTGGCCCTACACATCTCTGGGCTTCCTGGCTCGTACCAACCCAAACTGCTTCCTCCCATGCTCCCGAGCCCTTTGGAGCTGGCAGGGCTCAGGTACAAGTTTTCCCAGCTCACTCCCTCCCTCCCTGCTGCCTCCCCTTTAATGCAGGACAAGAGGGAGAGCAGCCGGAGCAAGCAGGAGCCTGTTTATTTGGCACCATAGCTGCTACCTGTGCCCACCACCACACCGCATCCCAGTCCAGAAACACCCCATCCTGTGCGAGGGTGATGCGGCCGGGAAGGGGCACCGGCACCTCTTCCCCTTGGCACATCCCCCAAATCTCGCTTGCTGTGCCGAATACCTCTTTACCACACTACCACGAGCTGCAGGAGTTCCAGGGCCGGGATGCCCAGGGCAGGGTAGATCCCCACTCAGTCCCAGCACCACTGATGGCAAAAGCAGGGGACGAGGAGCTCGTTGTCCCCATCGCTGCGGAGAATGAGCGCTGCCTTTCCCTGCACAGGGATGTGCTACCCTGGTCCAGCCCCATCCCCCAACGGATCCAGAGCATCGGATACTTACGGGCGGTGAGCAGAGGTGCCCTGGCTGAGGTTGGCCACGTAGGCAGCAGGGACGTAGCCCATGGCCGGCTCCCCCAGCAGCCGCCGGGCTAACACATAATCCCCCTCTTCTCTGAGGACACGCAGTTTGTCCCCTGCGTTTACGCTCAGTTCCTCGGAGCTCCGGGCTGTGAAAGCGTATAAAGCGATACAGAGAGAGGACTTGGGGATGAAGGAAATGGAGTTCGGCTCCGAGTGCAGCGAAACGGAGTCAGAACCAAGATACCCCAGGGAGCAGCTCTCCATCACGGCACGGGGACGGAGCTTGTTCCAGAAGGATGTCAGGAAGCTCAAGCGCTTCCTGACAAACTGCTCCATCCCCGGTGATGCGGTGGGTGCGGTGGGCTATGCCACCGCGCTTCGGGGGGCCGGAGGAAGGGGTGATCCCGGGCTCATGCCGCCGGCCGGGCAGCTCATCCTGCCGCCCCGCGTTCTTCGCACGCGTCTGGGCGCTCGCCGGCCCTTCCCGGCGAACTTCCTATTTCTGAAAGTGAAACTGGTTCATCTGGTGAGACGAGTCTGCAGGCGGGATGAGTCTGCAGGCAGGAGTCCCACGCTCAGACCCACGGGCACATCTGGGAGACGGGCACAGCTGGAGCCGGGCTCGCCGCTCTCGAAGAAGGAGAACGGCTGTTGTTTTATCTATTAATTATTTTAAAGTGTGCTCTTTGCTTGTTAGCAGAGCACCATAAACACAGCTCTCTGTTCTTCAAGCAGCTCTTGTCACAAGTGGCTGACTCCAGCTAATATTCTTCATCTCACTTGTGTGGGAGGATATTTTCTTTTTTCCATAGGACAATAATTGCATCCGAAAACGCACGGGAGTTAAAACAGAATTAAGAAATAACTTCAGAGGAGATCTGAAGTGTTTGGATATTTCCTGGGTGGATATTGTGGGGTTTATAACACAAGATCCTTTCTTTGTTCGGTCTACAATGACCTCCCAGCGTTACCCCACTAAAACCTTTGCCTCCTCCCACTAATTCCCCCTTGCACAGGACCTCTAGGGAATCCCCTTCCCAGTTCCACTAGGATCTGCTGCTTGCTCAGCCTCCACCAGAGGTGGGTCCTGTCCAGTCTCAGGAGGTCCTTGCCTGATGCAGGGGTTGGATCAGCCTCAGGCACGTGCGAGGCATCCGGAGCTGCGCCCTGGCACACAACCCCCAGCTCCGGATGTGCCAGCACACCCATCCTCCCCCAGACCTGGTCACACTCAGACACTGACATGCTCCAACCCCCCTACCAAATCACAGCAACCACAGCCATCAGCCAAAGGACAGATTTCCCCCTCACATCTTCCTGAAGCCACCTGAAGATCACTGCTCTGGTGAGAAATCCCAACTGCAACCCCTCACCCCATGCCTGGACTTTGTCATTTAACTGTTCCATCTAATTAGTGGGACCTTGGTGCCTGGTAAATCCACTCCTGGCCCTGAGACCATCATTTTGATCCTACTCTTCTTGCAGTTGGTCTGGGTAGCTCATTTTGGGTGTGTAGTTGGGATTTGAAGGAGGCTGCTCAAAAAGAAATACGGAAAATTAATTTTAGGGGTCTGGGCTGCAGACTGCAACTGGGTGGTGTGTGAGGAACAAGCTGGACCCACCCCTGGGCCAGCAACTCTAGATCTGCTGTGTCCTGCATCTTGTGTGTCCCATAATGGCCAAACAACCTGCAAAAATGCCTTGCCCTCGGTGCCACACAGGGATTTGTAATGTTTCTGTGCCTTTTTCCCACCTAAGCATTAGGAAGGGTACTGGGGATGGAGCACAGAAGGACTTGCAACCCAAAGGGAAGGGACATCCCCTCTGCTGTCCTTCTGCAGCACTTGTGACAAGCCTGCTCCTCATCTCATGCTCCATCAGGAGCAAAATGGGCTGCTTGGTTATGCACTGAGAGACATCTGATAAGATCCAGCACGGAATGTCTGTGCCTTAGTGTTTAGAAAGAGGACTTCTGGTGTGCAGGAGACTGGAGACTGATTTACCTTTATTGACCTTTGCCAGATTAGATTCTCTAGTGGTACAAGGGATAGACAAGTGCAGCTGACTTATAACACACAAGGCTTTGGATCTTGATTTGCACCTAAATGAAAGAGTACTTCAAAATGACAAACATCCCTGAGGACTAAATACTGCCTCTGAGCTGAACCTACCAGACATGCATAACACAGACTCATCCCTGCAAACCTCTGTCTGCACAGGGCACACATGCATGGCTCAGTCCCACACCAGGAAAGAGATGATAAATCACAACCACTTTCTAGTATCTTCTTTTTATTTTCCTCTTAAGTTCCAGGAGCAACCCTGCTGCTTTGAATCCCCTTTGGTACTATAAAACACCTAAAAATAAAATAAAAAAAAAATAAAGAAGAAAAAGAGTGTTCATAGAAGTTTCTGGTCCTCATGCTTTGGGAAGGCCGGTGGGAGGACACAGGGAAAGTGAGAAAGATAAGGAAGGCACAGATATCTGATGGATCAAGTATTTTATCTTCAAGTCCCTGTGGCCAGCTTACAAGGATGTATTAAAAACCAATCTGTCCACAGATTTGGGGCTGTGGTGGATACACAGGGACTTGAGTTCTAGCACCACTAGAAAGCACCTCCAAAGAGCAACGAAACCAGAAGACCTGCGCTGTAGATCTGGCTGCACGGTCCTGGTTTGGTTGCAGAGCACCTGGGAGCCATAAACACAAACAGCACTTTGCATTCACCCATGTGTCAAACACCACAGCGTGTCCTGCCAGCCTAATTGACAGAAACCAGCAGCTCCCCTCCACTAATGAGAGCGCCCATTACATCTAATTAGCTGAGGTTCTGTTCCAGGTCCTGTTACGTTTACACTTGAAATACATCTTCCAGCAAAGAGCCTTTTGGGAGGGGAAAAAAAAGGAAGAGAAGCATAATTCCAATTAAACTCTGAAAGGGGCAGAGAGCTGGGGAATGCAGGTCCTGCTGAGGAAAATGCTTTTGGACATTGGGCATGTAACAGTAGGTCACTGGAGGGGTCACGTAACCAAGGATGTGCCACTTGTCACCAATGACTGGCAAAGCACAGAGGGTGATTGTGGGCAGCCACACCATGCCTGGCACCCTGTCCTGAAGCATCCAACCATCCAGGAGACTTCCCTGGGCTTTGGGTCACTTCCTCGCTGCTGGCAGGGTCTGCAAGCCCAGCCCAAACCCAGTCCTGAGGTCCCACTTGGTCTTTCTGATGGCATCAGAAGATGGATGGGGGTTTGGGTTCCTGTTTATTTATCTTTTCTTTTTTCCTGATTTCTCCAGACGTTTCCTGACACCGCACTGTGTTTGAGGAAGGTTTTGCCTCTTAATAAATTGGTTCAGTTGGGTGCCCATAGGAATTTTCAGACACGTGGTGGGTGACGACAGCGGTGCGTGGGAAGAGAAGCAGAAAAGGGGCACTAAAGCAGCTTCAATTAGTCTCCATTCCCCTGGGGGCTGTGGAAGAAAGAGGCGTCTTGGCAGACTCTGGGCTGTCACCATCGAGGGCAGAGCCCATCCCCAGGAGGCTGACAAAGGCAGGAAGGATCCGGGGGCTGAGGGGCTCGTGGACAGTCAGTGCAGAGGGTTCAATACAGGCAAAAGTACAGTGGTCCTGGGATGGGGAGTGGCACAGGAGGTGTGAGAGGAGGCAGAGCTTCATGGGGTCTTGTGGTGGCTTTCTAAGCCCTATAGGAGTGGGTTGGAGTGGTTGGTGGAGAGCAGGAGTGCAGGTCACAGGGCACCTGAAATGGCACAAGAAAGCAGAAAAGCTCTATGGGAGGCAGCTGGAGGCAGAGAGAGCTGTTTGTGCAGTGCCTGGCTAGTCTGGGGCATGTAGGACTGCAGCAGGAAAACCCTTTAAACCCACAGTAATACTTTTCAGGGATCCCATAAACCCTAGAGTGCTTTTCAAGGATCTGAAATGATAGCAAGGAAAAGCCAACTCATATGTCACACTTCTAAAGCAGAATCACTGACTGGAAAATCTATAGGGACCAACACACCAAATTATGCTGGAAAACTGTGGCCAGCCTCTAGGCTTCTCCTTCTGCTTTCTGCTGAGATTATCAGCACAGACCAGCCTTTGCTTGCCCTATCCTGTAATCTAACTTCCAGAGGATGCTCCTTCTAGTACAGACTGCCTGGCAGAACAGCACTTACTGCTTATCTTCCCTGCTCCTGTCCCTGCAGTAATCATTTGCAACACATAAAAACCATTAACCACCTTCTCCAGACTGGCAGGTGCCAGCAAGCTGTTCACCCTCTCTCTCAAGGCTGTAGGGATCTCCATGGAAAGCGGGATAAGGGAGCTCAGGCTGTGCTCTCCATGCCCCTGAACACCTGGAGCAGAGGTCTGGCAGCTCCCTGCCAGGACCCTGCCATTGCTGAGCAGCAGCTGGAGGCCCCGGGCTGGCAGGTGCTGACAGAGACTTTACACACACACATCTCACAGTTGTGCTGCCCTGGCTGGGGCTGAGCAAACAGGGGACTGGTGCCTCCAGAAGCAAAGTGCACAGTGACTCAGATGGTGAGGGGGAAATCTCTGCCAATATGTAAGCAAATGATGGATTGCTCCATCTCCCCAGATGTCCTTGTTACCCTGGGGAGGAACCAGTCCATCTACTCCATCACTGAGCTGTGTGATATCTCTCCCCACAAAGGTCCTTTGGAGGCTCTTGGATTTGGGGTTATGATATTAAGTGTTGTTAGAAGAAACCTACTCAGAGTCCCAGGAGAATAGGCCCAAGAGACCTCACCCATACCACCTGGTCCATCCTATACTTATGTGTTTCCCCATCTTTGCCAAACCAGTTCTTAAAAGACCTCCAGGAATGGATATGCCACCACGTCCCCAGACAACTCATTCCAGTGAGTCACTAATCGTTACCAGCAGAAATGACTGTCTAACCTGCTGCACTTAAGCCTATTACTTCATGTCCCATTCATCACCACATTGCTCCATTCCTTTCTGCAACATCCTCTCCTGCATGTGAACACTGCTGAGGTGTCCCATTGCACGCTCAGCAAATCCACATTGACCCCAGCCCAGAACAAACACACTGACCTTATTCAAAGAGGCAACATGGTCATCTTTTTCTCCATTTGTCTCCAGTTTTCTTGACCTGTCCCTGTGTGCTGGTGTTCCTGTGGTGCCACCTCAGCTGGCTCTCTAGTGCGTTCACCTGGGGATAAGAAAGCAGCAGCTCAAAGAGGAGTCTGCACCACTGCACAGATAACCTTTAACCTGTCCCAAATACAAGGAGTCTGCACCACTGCACAGATAACCTTTAACCTGTCCCAAATACAAGGAGTCTGCACCACTGCACAGATAATCTTTAACCTGTCCCAAATACAAGGAGTCTGCACCACTGCACAGATAATCTTTAACCTGTCCCAAATACAAGGAGTCTGCACCACTGCAGAGACAATCTTTAACTTGTTCCAAATACAAGAAAAAAATGCTGGCTCAAATTTTCTTCACCAAGGTTCCATTTGCATTTTACCCTACAGTTGTAGAGGTCTGAGCTCACAGAGTTCAGCTTCATCTCTTCTCTCCCTACCCCACTTCATCTGTACCTGCCACTAGTCCCCTCTGATGGGTTGGTTGCTCTTGACTCTGAAGGACACAAGAACTCACAGGGGCTGCCCGTAGCAAATAGGTAAATCTTGCTCCTGAGATGACTCCATGTTAAGATAAAGATCGAGGCACCAAGTTTTACCTGTTTCCGTAGGGAAGCAACTGTCTTCTCCAGTTCAGCCACAAGGGACTCGAGGTTCTCTCTGGAGGAAGGGCTTGGGGAAGGCACCTTGTTTCTGGGGTCAGGGATAAAAAGTGAAAGGGATTATGCAAACAGCAGCTTCCTGGCTGAGAAAATCATTCTGCCTCAAACAGCCCAAGTATTTACACATCAGAGCTGAGCTCTGCACTGAAACATCGGAGGACTGGACAAGCTCAGCACCCAGCTACTGATACACCTCCGACCTCCAGACCTCTTCAGAGTGCCAATTTCAGAGGCCTGAATGGACTGTTATTAAAACCTTTCCTTATGTTTCATAAAATGGAGATAAAAGTGGTGATACTACACCTGGGGAAGTCAGGCTTGTGCTTGGCAGGGTTTTCCTCTGGGTAGCTGAAGCCAGGAGACCTCTTCCTTCGGAACCGCTGAGAAAGAGCCCTGAACTGCCCTCGTGTCTGGCAGTCTTGGGAAGGAATGGAAAGTCTGCAGTGAGCACTCATGTTCAAAGCAGAACACAAGGCAGAGCTGCCCCCCTGTACCATCCAGCCTTGACACATCTCTTATGCTGAAGGGAAGGAGGCAGCAAAGGTGTGCAGGGATTCCCATTTCTCAGCTGGACATCTGCACCCAAAATATGGAACAAAGGGACCATGGCAGGATCTGTGGTTTAATGGAGGAGTTTTAGACTCACAAATGAATCTGTGAAGTGGCATGTGGTAGGGACCTCCATACCTGCTTCTGTGTCTTCCCCCAGCCAGAGACAGAAGCCCACAGCTAGGTGGACTTTCAGTCAGGTTCAATGCAGTTAACAGGTTTCCTAGAGAGGTGGCCAATGCCACAAGCCACTCGGGGTTTAAGAGGCAGTTGGACAATGCCCTTAATAATTTCCTTTAACTTTTGATCAGCCCTGAATTGGTCAGGCGGTTGCACTGGATGATTGTTGTAAGTCCCCTTACAACTGAAATATTCTATTCTATTCTATTCCATTCCATTCCATTCCATTCTGTTCTATTTTAATTCTATTCTACTCTATTCCATTCCTGTTCTATCCTATATTCCATTCGCACCCATTTGCTGACACAAGGTTCTCCCGGTGTAGCAGGAAATCAGCTACAATTTCACACCAGCTGGTGGCATGTGACAAATGCCACCCAGAGCAACCCCCGTGTCAGTTGGTGCTAGAACAGCCTGCTCCTCACCCTCACAACAGTCCTGCCACAGGCGGAGGTCCACGGCAGGGATCTCTTCACAGCTGACCATGCCCTGCAGGTACGATGCCACCCGGAAGACATCCCTCTGCAGCTGCTGGATGTGGTCACTGTTGTCACAGATGACACGAGCGAGGGACGTCTGTCTGATCTGAGTCAGCTGCGCCGGCGTGAAGACTCCGGGATTCTCATACCAAAATCTGCAGTGGGTTGTAATCGCAGCATGGCTCAGGAGTAGGAGAAGAGGGAGAGAGGGAGGGAGGAAGGCTGGGAGAGGAGGAAGAGTTCCCTGACATCTGTGTTGCAGCACAACCCATCTCAAGAGAAGCTCCTGCTCTGGTGTCAGGTGGCTGCAGACACAGAAGGCCTTTTCTGAACCCACAAACCTCCCCGTGCTCCTGCCCTAAGTGCATCACCAGGCAAAGATGTGTCTCATTCACACAAACAGCAAACAGGAATTAAAAAGAAGCTCCTGCAGACATTTGCTAGCATTTTCATGAGATATTGGACACATCCTCAATGATGCCCAGTGTTCTTCAGTGGAATGAGAATCATTAAATCACGAATGAACACCTTGACAGTAACTGTGACAAGTCCTTTTGCAAATGCACTGGACTGTTCTTCATATCACAGCACAATAAACAATAAAAAAATTACAGATTCTGCTTCTCCCTGTAAGGAGTGAAACAGAATACCAAAGAATTTGGGATGACTCCAGGGGTAATACCTGTCTCCATCCCTCAGCCTTCTGAACTGCGTCGTTAACAGGCACATCAGTGTTGGTCCAACTCTGGTCCCAGGGACAAGATCCTCCACCATCAGCGCTGGAAACAGGTCAATATTTTTGGCAGTTCCATATAAACTGCACAATAACAGATATTAAAAAAAAAAAGTTAAAAGTCTATCAAAGACTGGAGATAATATAAATCTGATACCAATGTAGGAATTTGTATGCCAGGAACTCATCTGGACAATATTTATAATGGTTTTATCTGAAAGACAATGGGATAAAGGCCTGCCTTGGAAAGAGGCAGCCAGGGCAGATAGGACGCGGTTTAGTCTGACTGGAAAATAGCTCCAAGGCTCAATCTGCTCCCAAACTACGCCACAGCAGTGCCTGACAACATTCCACCCAGAACCAGACTGATCACTTGGAGAGACCTCGTTTGTATTACCCCATTGTTAAATCACAGCTATTACCCTATCTTAACATCTGTGGGTGGCAATATCTGGGAAGGTTAGTCCATGGGTGTCCTGGGAGGAGCAAAAACTTTTGACTGACTGCTCTCCAGTCGTTTTGATGCTTCCACATCCAAGCTACAGTACCTCCTGAGCTTTTCTCTGATCTCCAAGTTCTTTATCTCATTTCGGAGGTCCTCGAATTCCTGTGCAGATGAAAGGTTGCAGAAGACCCTGAAGTCGTTGTAGGGCGGGATGCCGTGGTCTCGCCCTCTCTGGATGTTGATAGCAGCCAAGTCCAGTGAGACAGAGTGTGCCATGGAGAAGAGTTTCTCCGTCAGCTCCATGTTGAGGAGTTCAGAGGGGACCCGCATTTTCCCAGGAACCCCAAACAGCCCACGGAGGAGGGGGTCAATCCCCCCCTCCTGCGTGATCCTGAAAGGGGAGAAGAAGGCCTTGTGCAGGGGGATGTGGCCTTGTTGGATGGGCTGGAAGGTTTCGTTCAGCCGGTACAGGATGGGGTTGATCAAGGTGTGCCCGAAGCGGAAGGCAGCGGTGGCAAAGGCGTTGAGAATCCCCGCATTGACATTGGGGTTGTAGCCTTTGTACTCACCCAGCATCTTCATCCCAGCCTCCCCAAGGACCTTGGGCAGCCACTGGGCATAGGTGATGTGCTGCATCTGGGCACCCACAATCTTCCGTGCCTCGTAGTACAGGAGGTCCCCATCCCAGTGGGGATTGAGGGCGGCCAGCTCCGTGGCGACACGGTTGTGCTCCCTGAACCACAGCGTGTGCATGGCCGTGAGACCCAGCTGCTCGTTGGCACGGTGGTCTCCTGCCAGGAAGCACGGCACGGGGCTCTCGTTCTCATCCCTCATGCACTCCGTGGGCGGCCCCACAGCAAAGGGAAGGAGATGCTTCCCTGAGCTGGGCACAACCTGCCCGCGCTTCAGCAGCCCGCTCTGGCCGCTCAGATCCCGCAGCTCCCGCGACTCCTGCTCCGTGCTGCCGTAAACGTTGGAGGCGTCGATGTAAGACGTCAAGTGGTTGATCTGCTCTCTGGCATAGACAGAGTTCATCAGCAGGGATGTCATCCCGCTGCCGCACACCGGGCTCGAGCGCACGAAGAACATGCAGCGGCCGTTCCTCACGCGGGGGTCGTTGGCGGGGACCATGACGGAGAAGCACGGCGGGTCGTTGCTGCACACCTCGCTGCAAGGTGCTCCGTCCGAGAAGCGGGACATGCTGATGGCTGCCACCGTCTGGTCCATGTCATGGTCCAGAAACTGGCCCCACTGCATGAGCATGTGCGTGAACTGGTCGTCGGGGGTGATGGTCTCAGTCCCGATCATGGCAGTGGAGACGAGGCGAGGTAGAGGAAGGGGCAGATCCCTGGCATCTTCTGCCAAGGAAAACCCTCGGGGGAGGTTAAATCCATTCTGGTAGGCGGGTTTGAGGAGCCTCTGGAAGGCTGTGAGAGACGCACCCCACATTGGGTGCTGGAGGTTGTTGCAAGAGCCATCGTGGGTCCTGTACTTCTTGTGGAAGCAGATGTCGGAGCAGTTCGGCGTGCGACGGTGGGCAGAGCAGCCCGACAGGTTGGCAATCATGTTCAGGTAGTGAGGGGACACCAGGTCATTGTAGCGATAGCCTGCAACGGGAAAGGCAAAGCACCAGGTCAGCTGTCACCTGTTGGTTCCCACTGTTCCATGTAAGGGCTCTGCGTGTGAAAGCCACTGCTGGGACTGTCAGGATGGGCACAGGGAGGCCAGACCCCTGAGTGTGGTGTTGCAAAGTAATTTAAGAAAAGCAGAGGAAGCACGTTAGGCCCACAAAGAAGAACAGAAAGGGAAAAGAGTTTGGTATTTAACTGCACAGAGCTGGAAACCACAAATGTTGTGACCGGCAGAGCAAACTGTGGGGGTGGTCTCGGTCTCCACTCTAGGTTTATTTTATGGCTCTCTGGGTTATTACTGCCACCGCGAGCTCCATCACCCATCCAAACTCTACGTGACAGGCAGCAGGAAGCTGTGGGTGACTGCCAGGGCGCTGCGCTGTGTGAAAGCGCTGAATAATGCTGCACTTTGGGGATGCTGACAGGGCAATAAGGAGGAGAGGCTGGCAGTCCAACCAGCCCAGACCAGACCTGCGAACTGGAAAGAGACTCCTTGCACCCTGGAATACATCCAGGCAGGAAAAAATACTTACAGGCCCCAAACACACATGCCTGCTACATGATGATTCACACATATAGGTAAAACATGCAGGGTACGGGAATGTCTGTTGTAGATCAAGGAAGTGGATGCTTGGACTCCACTAAGTATTTTTGGTGTGACATTGCTTTGTTCCTTGCTATCCGGTGTTGATAAAAAGAACCTGAGTGGCTGAAATCCACCTGAGTTTATAGCTAAGAGATCAAAGTAGTAGAAAGACAGAAGATTGATATCCCCCTTCCTCTGTTAAAGCACCCAAATACCCCAGAATCCACAGTAATTTTCTTGTTGCTACGTGGAGGGCAGGAAAAATCTGCTGCTGAGGGTCTGAACTTCAGACTCACAAAGGTACTCCTTTATGAGTTAGATGGATAAATATTTTTTAAAGATTGGGGCTTTCATAGCCAGCCAAGAAACATTTACAGAAATGGGGAACTGAAACAGTTTCCTGACTATCAAGTTGGTATGGTGAATGCAAGGTCAGCCTTCCAGCTGTTAGGAAAACCATAAGATGTAGAAAGAATTGCAACCCAGAAAACACATTTCTTGATATATCCAACATATATCTGGATTTTTTGGTACACCTTTAAACTTCCTGGATATCTACACATCATTGCTTTCACTTCAACCTATGCACAGTATTAAGAAGAGAAATGAAATCTCACCCACCTGTGACGTTCATATCCACAATGAGCCCTTGCTGCACGTGTTCCTGAATCAGCTGCAAGGTCCTTTCAAAGATCTCCCCTGCCCTGGCTGTCTCGATGGTGTAGGGGTCCCGGGGGTAGCGGAAGAGAGCCAGGAGGTCATTGGGTGTCTTGGGACGTCTGTTTCCAGGAATTAAAAGTGATGCAGGAACATTAAAATCAATCAACTCTCCTCGGGGCAATGAGACTCTACAGGCAGCAATAGTCGGGCTCTAAGCCTGGTCTGGTGCTTGGCCCCCAAACTAGTGCATAAGACCAACGTGATTTGCCTGCATGTGGCAGATGGTTAAAGAAAGGACATTTTTCCCCAGGAAAATGCACATATTTAATTCCCTCAACATCTCTGTTTTTTTCCTGTGATAGTAATTTATTTTTCACTTTTCAACAGCTAAAACCCAGAGGGTTTGGGGCTTAATAGAAACTATCCATCTTTTCAAGGAAAACATATATTGGGGTGGAAGAAGAGGGAATCACCATTCAGTCAAGAATTCATTTTTTATTGAAGAAATGGTTAGAACTGTTATATTATTATTTCTGTTCACCCTGCACAAAGTCAGTTGAATTTATAAAATGAACTAGGCTGATTATTTTCTTTCCTATTCACTATCTCCAGAACCAGCTCCAGTTGGTAAAATGTACATCGCAGATAGAAGTGACATAAGAGGCGATATTCATGCATCTCATTTTTCCAGAATCCCAAATGCCTGTTGGGAAGCTCTGTCACATCCTTACACCTTACACGTGGTGCAGCTCAAACCTCCAACACTCGAAACAACACTGCAGCTTTCATTTGCGGGTTGTCAGCGATAAAATGAGGTTGGAGAAAGCTTCATTTGTCACTTTTTTAATCACTTTTCTGCTCCAAGTCTGAGATCAGGGCACTTCACAGACTTACTTGCTGAAGAGCTCGGTGCGTGTGGAGTTGATGGCGTGGTCCACGCTGCTGATGGCCTCCCGCAGAGACGTGGCTACAAACGTGTCACCGCTCCGACCGACGTCCGTGGCTTTCCAAAGCAGAAAGAAAGAACAAAATACCTTAAATTTACTTTGATATTAACTGCTCTTCCAAGTTCAAGAAGATCTGTGCACCGGTACAAGCCCTGTAGTGACCTCACTGCAGGTCAAATTGCGTTTCCATCTATGATATAAACACCATGAATTTATTTTTTTTGGACAGATATTCTGAAGAATATGAATGAACTTCCTGGAAAAGAAGGTGGCTTTTTCAGGAGGTGTCTGTGGACACGTATTCAGAGTTTTCTCCTGTACAGCTTTGCAAATGAATATCTGTTTTGGTTAGTGGTTAAACTGGAAAAAGAAAATGTCAAAGTCACAGTGGGTTAATCCAAAATAATGTATTTACTTTGCACAAACATACTTCTGAAAGCGAATAAATTAATTTAAATGTATTGCTCACACATTCATTTTCTGTTTGTGGAACACTTCACTTATTAATTATTGATAATCAACAATTAATAGATATTTATGATTAAAAAACAGTTCAAAGTTAGTGTTAACACATCTGCTACATCATTTTAAATCAAAAAAACTAAAGCTGTTGTTTAAATACCTTTAGAAGGAAAGACATGAATTCTTTAAAATTACTATGGGGTGCATTTTTTAAGCCAGGGCCTTTGTCACAGCTGAACAAACCAGTTCCCATTTGGCTACTGGTGTATGCCACAGCCAGCTGGTAAATGAGGCACTGATCAAGAATAAATCACAGAAATTATCTCAGGAATAATTTCAAACAACAAAGAAATTTCAGACTATTTTCAGCTCCTTGCATACAACCTCTGTATGTTAAATGTTAATAAATTCATCGAATAAGCTCTTCACTATCCACGCTGCTTATTGCTGGAACAGCCCTTTGCTTACATTTTAAACTTTTTTCCTTGTCTCTGATTTTTTTTCCCTTGCCAGTTCTTCCTTACCCTCTAAGAGGTCCAATTTTCACTCCTGAGCTCTGGTTTGACCATCAGAGGAGTGCTACTCCTCCTTATCCATTACAGCTTCCCTAACGCATGGGGCAGGAGCTTGAAACCAGCCACTTATTTCCCATCCCCAATGAAGGTTTGACCCCAATTTGGTCAAAGGTTGGACTTGATGATCTTGGAGGTCTTTTCCAACCCCAACAATTCTGTGATTCTATGATTCTGTGACTGACCAAATATGTAAATCCCTGCATTTGCAGCAACAATGTTGTTCTGCTCCTCCCTGCCCCGGCGTACGAGGTTACAGTCAGATGACGATTTGTGAGCAAGCTGGCACATTTTTTAATTAGTCTCTCCTTCCCAGCAGAGGCAATAACTACATATACACTGTCAGCTGGACTTGCAGGAGGAGGTTTAAGACAACACCTTTGGCTTTGCAGGGAGCAACTGCAGCTCAGCTAAGAAAACAGCGAGGGGCAGCTGGGAGGTGCGTGGGCTGTGACAACGGAGCAACCCTGATCCAAGGCACCTGTCTGAAAAGAGGCTAAGGAAGCAATTTCTTGTGTAATTATCTGTCCAAAGGGTAGATGTCAACACAGCATAGCACCCCCTTAGAGGAGATCAAGAGAAGATTGTGAAGGAGCAGCGGAGGTGCCGTACCGGTGATGGTGAGCTGCATGGCACTGGAGGTGAAGCCAAAGGGGTTCCTTGCTATGCACTCGTATCTGCCCTGATCAGCCACGCCAAGATCCTGAATGGAAAGGGTCCCATCTTGGCCAATATGGAACTTGCCACTCTCTGTGATCTGGATACCCTCCTGTTGCACCATCAAAAGACAGAAAATGTGTCAGTGGATGGATAGCTCCCCACCATCCCAGCCCTCGGCCTGCTCAGCAAACCCGGAGATGGATGTGATGAACAAAAGTGGCCACCAGATGTTAGCATTGCTCTTCCAGCGAAACCAGAAAGCCTTCCAAGGACACCTGCTCCTGTCTGGACCCACGGGAGGAGGTCCCTGCTCATATCCTTCACCCTGGTCCACCCCAAGCACTCCCTGCAGGCACAGACTCCCCACACAGATGGACTGGCTGGAGTGAGTGCCATGCCCTGATGGTGTCACAGATGTCTCACAGCACAGAATTAAGTCTAAATCTCTTCAGTTTGGGGACAACCTGAAACTGATGGATTTTGCTGACCCTGAGCTGCAGATATCAGCTTTTGCTGGCTCTGACAGCATCTCTCAAACCTGTCCTCTCAGCCTGGATTGTGGCAGAAGTGACTTTAGTTTTTACTTTTTTATTCTCCTGTTTAACATCTTTCTGCTGTCCTGTCCGAACCTAATGTTTGCTCTGCTGCACTCCCAAGCTCTTTTCTTCTGCTCCCACTGTTGGCTGGAGCCCAAGGCAAGCTGCAAGACTACCTCCCACCAGACCTCTGCAGGGTAACTGAGGTTCAAGCATTTTCTGTGCCTGACTATGCTCAAAGGCAGGGCAGGTAACAAGGAAGGTCCCAGGTGTTGTACTACAGCACAGCAGGAAAAAACTCTGAAGAACTTCATCTAACAGATTCTTGAAAAGAGCAGCCAGGCTGCAGTGTGAATTCGAGGGATGGTGGCTTTGCCCCATCAAAGCTGGAGCCAGCCAGTATCATCCAGTACCACCAGTGGGAATCCTGGAAATAAGGACAAACTACTTAGAAAAAAATCAATTTTTGGGTTTTGTTTTTTTTTTTTTTCCAGGGATGGTCAGTTAAGCATTTTTAACAACTTGGAATGTCACTGGCTTCAAGTGACTCATTTGGAAGGAAGAACAAGAGAACGTGCATTGCAAGGCTTTGAGCCTGAGAAAGCGCAAGGTTCTTTTAGACCATAAAACACCCAAATCAGTGGAAATGTCAGTCTTTATCCCACAGATTGATGTAACCAGTGAAGGTGAGAAAGGTGTTGAAGGAGAGAGTTGTTAAATGCCTCCCAGAGGAGCCACCCTGCTCCCCAGTGACCGTCGAGCACGTGAAATCTTCACATACCTTGACCCAGGTTATGGTGGGCCGTGGGTCTCCCTGGGCAGCGCAGGTAATGGCAACATCCTGGCCTGTCTCTGCCACCACATCTTGGGGGGGCTGAAGGAACACGGGTATCACTGTGCAACACAGAGGAAAGAAGTCACCAGGGCAAGAAATGCACCAAGGAAAATAGAGAAACCTTTCAGCACGGGTAAAGCAGGGCTGGGCTCCTCCTGCTCTTGAAAGGACTCTGCAGAGGGGTGACAGCTCACCCCGTGCTCTCTGTCTTGCTACCAAGCTCTCTGTTCATTAATTTATGTAATTGATGTTCATTATTTTCTGCTCCTCTGAGTCTCTACTTGGGGCAATTACACAGGAATGTGCTGAGTCATTTATAACCATTCACTCAAAGGCTTTCCAGAAAGGATGCTCTAGCTGAAACAGGGATCATGACTTGATTCAGGCACTGTCAGATGAGGCTCTCTGGAAGTGTTAGTCAGGAGAGATTAAATAATTATATTGATCTTGCTGGTCTTAAAATATTCTGTGAATTTTGTGCTTGAAGCTTCACTAATTTCATGCTTCTAGATAGTGTCCTACCCTCCAGTCTGCCATTAGTAAAATTCTACCATGTTTGTGAACAGACAGGGAAATTTGCTTACTTAGAACAATTATTTATATGGGAACAAAAAGAAAATTAAGCAAAAGCTTTTAAAAAAAGAATAAAAAAATTAAGCTTTAATTAAGCTTAATTAAGCAAAAATATTCCTGTGTGGCTTGTATTTTACAGAGGCTTGATTTTAGAATACCTAAATTTAGGTTGAACCTATGACCTGGTAGGTGATGTTTAAGACAAATGTATCTGGAGCCAAAGTTAAACGTTCCCAAGAAGGAATAATTTTGTTTTGCAGACTATTTTATTTTAAAAAGAATTTTACAATTACTTCTACAGGAGAGACAAAACTTAAAAATGGCAAAAAAAAAAATAGAGTAAGAATTTAATTCATACACTTTTCTGTAAATGATACAGTTTTCCTTTGCCAAAATAATTTTCTTCCTGACAACTCCCAGACCGAAGCAGCTCCTTCCAATTCACAAACCTCGGCACTCTGCAAACCTCTCTTAACTTTTCCCACCAGCTGATGGAGCTCTCATGGAAAAGCAAAATCCCGTCCCACGGCAGACAGGGCAATTCCCTGCCTGGTCAGACGGTGTGTTGTTCACCAGAACCTTTGCCAGCCCTTTTTTACCTCGTGGGGTGACCGAGAGCTGCACCGGGAGGGTCCTCACCCCGATGGCACTGATGGCGTGGCACTCAAACTGCCCCTGGTCATGCAGAGCCACCCTCAGCACCCGCAGGGTGCCCGTGGAGAGGATGCTGTGCCTCCGGTCGTTTGGCAAAGGCCCACCTGGGCAAACAAGCAGGTTGTTAATTCTCTGTGAAGTTTCCCATCCCGTCACTGGAGGGATCTGCGTGATAGTCATGAATTTTGTTTCCCTCCCCACATCAGCCATCCTGAAATGCCATCTTTATCACACCAAATTTTCTCGTCTGAGCAACTGGGTAGGAGCTGGAACCCTTTCTCTTTCCCCTTAAGTCTTTTCTTAGTGCAACCTGCAGATTTTGTAATACCTGATGGACAGCACATAAGTGCTCAATTATCCAAACTGGTTGTTTCATCAAATAAACAGAAACATTTAGAATTGTCTTTTTGAATTAGTTATTGTGATTTTCTTCAGTTTAGAAACTGTTGTTTCAACGTTTTCTCTATTTCAGAAGAAAAGTTGAAAACTAAACTGCTTTACCAAACCCAAACAAAATTATTAAAACTTCTCAGTTTGGCAACTTATTTTTTTTTTCCCTCCAAATAAGGGCTCTTATTTATTCATCCTAAATACAAAAATCTCCACACACTGTCAAAAGTGGCTTTGAGACAAGCAATGTTCCATCACTTGTCCTTCTCTTGTCTTACTTTTAGCACGTGAAAGCATTGCAAAGCCTGGTTGATTTTTAATTTTTGGCTTGCTGAGTGCAAACCTAGTTCCAATGCAGTTGTCAACCTTACTTCTTGTCACTGTGCTCCTTTCCACATCTCTAAGATGTATTTTCTCGGAAGTGGAGTAAAACAGGTTAAAGGAGATGGAGAACATGCAGGCAGAACAGAATTTCAGCTGGTCCTTCTTAACTCCACACCAGGGCCATTGCTGTGGAAGCTGGAATACAACACCCATGAATTCTCCACAGCACTAAACCATTAATTATGGCTTGTGAAGCATAAGGAAAAGTTGGAGGACCTCTGGGCCAAGCATTATTGGCTTCTGTCCCAGAAAGTGTTGGATGAGATCAGTTCAGTGGAGCCAGCACTAACAATTATTTGAGACTTTAAAAGTTCACCACCACCTGTTGTCCCAAAGTCCTTCTTCCTAAGCTAAAAGAAAACTCCGAGGTGCGTCAGCAGTGAATTGCTCTTCTGCAATGTGCTCCCCAAGAGCAGCAAATCAATGACAATGACAGAGAGCTGGCACATGGTGATACTGCTGAGGGAAGTGGTGGAATCATGATCCTTGGAAGTGTTCAAAAAAACAGGTAGATGTGTCATGTAGGAACATGGTTTAGCGGTTAACATGGCAGTGTCGGGTTAATGGTTGGACTTGATGACCTTAGAGGTCTTTTCCAACCCAAACAACTCTGTGATTGACTCCCACTGACTTGGAGTGCACAGACCCTGCCTTTTCAAAGGAGGTAGGAAGTCATTGCAGAAAGAAATTTGAGGCTTTCCACGGGTTTCATGCTGATGGAAACCAGCACACTCCTTCCTTCTCATTCTGTGTGTCAAAGGCCCAAGAGGCTATTTCCTCACTGCTTAACATCATCCTTGATGATCTATAACACACCTCCCAGTGTGACTAGCCCTGTGCTGGTAACCATCTGTCCTGTGCCACCACTGCAAGTCACCACCCTGGACTGTCAGCTCAGCTGCTCCCACCCACATCCCGTGGATGATGGCACAGGAGAGAGAAACCATGAGTCAAGTGAGGCAGTACCTGCCCTTGTCCAGGTAATCACAGGTGGAGGGTGACCCTCAGCAGAGCAGGGGAAATCCACACTTTGTCCCTCAGTCACTGTCTGATCAGTAGGAATGACGAGAAACCTGGGAGAATCTGTAGGGGAAAGCAATGACTGAGCAGCAGGAAACACTCAGGCAGCAAACTTGGGGAGTTCATGGGAGCAGAACCAGTCACGGGGCTTAAATACACCCTGCTGACCAAACACTGTGCCCCAGAAACGTCACAGAACATCACAGAATCAGCCTGGGACTCCTCACCTTGCACAATGATCCTTGCTGTCGCCTGGATGGACCCCTCGGAGTTGGTGGCATTGCAGTTGTACTGCCCCTGGTCCGAGAAGGTGACGTTCTGAATGAAGAGTCCTCCGGAGCTGGTGATAGTGAAACGGGAATCCTGTGGCAAAGGAGAGCCTGTGCCAAGGGTCCAGCTGATGTGAGGGTGGGGGTGCCCAGAGACCCCACACTCCAAGGTGACGCTTTCCCCAATCAGCACTTCAGTGTTCTGAGGCTGGATCACAAAAGTGGGCTTGGCTGGAAAGAAACGAGTGCTTTAGAAACCAGCTCTGCTGCCTGCCCGGTTGCAGGCAGAAATTGCTTGGACTCCTCATGCAACCCAGCTAACAGTCACCTGGCTCTTCCCTGACCTCCAAATCCTCGCTGTGAGCGATGCCCCCAGCACTAGGTCTTCCTTCCACCTCCTCACACCCACTTACCTAGTGCTGGAGCATCCCCTCTCCATGTCCCCTTCACCCTTGATAACTCTGTGCTGCAGAATTCATGCTAGACTTAAACTCCCTCCCCAGTCCCAAACCACCTTCAATCTCTAAATCCCTTTTCCCACCACAGTGAAGGAACCCCCCTAAGCTCAGGCCACTCTCAAAGTCATTGCTTTGTTAGATACTCTCTCCCTCGGAACATCTTGGCACATACAAAGCCGTGACTAACTCTGATTTAGCTCCACTCCCACCCCCAACCTGAGCTGGGTCATCAAGGGGTGCACAAAGCTCCCTTACATGGGGTGCCAAAATAGCGCAGCACAACTTCTTGTGTCTTGACCTCCCCAGCAATGTTCTTGGCCATGCACTGGTAGACACCTTTATCCGACTCCTTGGTATTCTGGATCATCAAGGTACCATCTTGCAACAGGTTCAGGCGGTTGTCATCTTTCATGTCAATCTTATTACTGAAAAAGAGCCACAAAAGGGCAAAATCTGGAAGGATTAAACACTGGTGGTCCCCCTCAAGCTGCTGGGAGGGGCAGGGGCTTTGCTTGCATTGCAGTAAGTTGGTGTTTCTTGGAGGTATTCTGAGACTTCATGAGATTTACAGCAAGAGTTCTGATTCACAGCACTGAACTGCAGCTCCAGCTCTGATTTGCTCCCTGGGTGTGCTGCTTTTTCTCTCACCACTGATTACATACGACATTTACAGCCCATCAGGAGAGCACACTGTTCCCATGCCACGGCACTGCTGCTATTGTCAGGGCATCTCTGCCTGGAAAGCCTGTTCTCATTACTTTCTAAGTGCAAATATAATAATGAACTAATATTGTTATTGTGTGCAGCCACTTCTATTCAAAGTCAAGGCTCAAAGGCCTCAGGGGAGCAAAAAGCTCTAAGTCACCAGGGGACCCCGATGCAGCTTGGACTCCAACCCAGCCTGAGAGCTGTGAAATATCTTCCTTCTTTCTGCAATGACCTGCAACTCCTGGATCCCAGCCCATGGCAGAAGGTCCCAGTGCTGCATCCCATTTGTCCCAGCACGAAGGAATCTTGGATGGCTGCAGATGACTGAAAAGGGAGAAGGGACCTTTGTCCCCCTAGGACAAAGGCTGAACCCACTATGCAAACTAATATGCTTGCTGGGCATTTATTTAATTCCCCTGATGCCTCCTCACTCCAGTCATATCTCGTTTGTGGAACATTTATTATCATTACCCCTCTTACAGTGCTGTCTTTGGGAGCCTGCCAGCATTTCCCTAACAAAACCTTCCTTCCAGGGGGACTTAACTCAGCCATAAACTTTTGCTCTGGGCTGAAACTCTGCCTGGTGGGGGGTTTGCTGAAGAAGCACACATTGATCATTTTTATTAATAACCAAGCCCTGCTCAGGCTCCACCAGACAAGAAGCTCGTAAAGCAGCAAAGCAACTTCACTTCCACAGTGGGCAGCTGCTCGAGCACAAAATATTTTATTGTGTAGCATTTCCCAGAACACTTTGGCATCTAGCACAGCCATGTACTTTTTCAGTGTTTCTGTACAGAAGGATAACCTATACACTGATTTGCAAATTCTGTCTTTCAGTGCAGCACAAAAATTTTTCTCTTCGGAAAAAACCCCATTCTCCAGCACGATTGGCCTTTGTGTGAAAAACCTAGAGACTAGAAGCAATTCAGCAGTTAACAAATGGCAAGCATGGTGGCTTAGAGCAACATGAAACACTAATTTTATTTTTTCCCTGATCAAAAGACAATTGCTTTCAGCCTGCAGAGCATGTTTATAGGAAAGTTATAAGCTCTTGGAATCCATTACAAACGCAGATGAAATATTTCAAATGCAGATGAAAACATCACATGGATTACGTGGTCACCAGAGAATGCTATTAAAAGGAAGGTAAATACAACCCATGGAACAGCCATTTCTTTTTTCTTTTCCTTTTTTTTTTTTTTTAGCATAGTGTGAAACAGCTTTTGTAATTACAGGCAGGCACTGAAGAGCTCAGCGCTTGAAAACCTTCGCCACCCCAGGGCTCATTGCGTGAGACTTACTTGTTGTGCAGCCAAATAATCGCAGGCTTTGGATTTCCTTCTGCCCTGCAGGTGAAATAAACTGTGTTTCCCAAGAGGACGTCGACGTCGTGGGGTTCTGAGGTTATTCGAGGCCTCTCTGCAAAACACCATTTGAACAGAACCCGGTCCAGAGCAGCACAAAACCACCTCCAACCCACCCGGGGCAGAGTGGGTCACACAACACCCATCCTGCAATGCCCCAAAACAGGCACCAGCAGAGCCCCAGGCACAACAGCGTCCACACAGAGTCACCCCAAAACTTCTCATTACCACCAAATGAGGGAATAGCGTCATTCATCTGAGCCTGCTAAAAGCCCTGGAGAATCACAGTGGTTGTTCCTATTCCCAGTTTGTTGGGCAGTGCATTAGCACCTCTGACAGCACTGAGAAAACCAGATCCGGCTGTACACTGGTTCTTCATAGCTGCCCCAAGAGTTGGCCCCTGTATCCCCCAAAATAAGCAAAGAAGTCAGTGGCATCCTCATTTGGGTTGTTTTTCTGTCCCTGGCAGCCTGCTGCTCTCAGCAACTGCCTGCTTCACCTGAACACGGTGCCAGCTCCCTGCCAACCACACCACATCCCTCCCAGCAGGATTTCATTCATTACATCCCTAATTCACCAGCCCTATCCAGCCAAGCCTTTCACTATGTGCTTCACTTTAAGATGTACTAAGCAAGTTAAACATTGAAAGGATGTGCTAAAATAGGGAGGAATTTATGTACAAGCCCTGCAGTGCTTGTTCTTGATTCAGGGAATGGTTACCCATTTAACAATCTACATTCTCACCAGCAATCCACTGAAACCAGATGGATTACTCCTAAGATTGAGAACCTGCCACCTCCTCCAGCGGAAGGTCAGTGTCCTTACTCCTTAGACCACAAGTCAGTGGCTCATGAACTGATCCCCACAGGCAACACCAGCGCAGACCGAGCCCAGCACAGCCCCGGAGTACAAGGTGCTGATCCAGTGCAGATTTGCCCCTCTGGCTCACATCTGCTCACAGCTGAGGGTCAAATGGTGCCAGCAGATTTCGGACTGACTCAGATATCAGCTGCCTGCATCGTTAGAGCTTTGTGCTGAATTATGGATCATTTGCCTTTCCCAGCTGGCACAACACCAGCGTGAAAACCCAGTGCCAGCAAAATCTTTCCACCAGGTGCTCTGGCTAATTTGACAGACATCCCACTGTGAGCCCATGCCTAAACCAGAACAAATTTGCACTAACAGCTGTACTGTGACACTGGGTGTGTGTCAGGGACAGCTTGTTGTGTGGCACAGCCACTCACAGCAGACCCCATTCCATGTGTCTCCAGCTGCTTTCCCTAGACCCTTCCTATTCCCTGCTCCCTTGAGGTCACAGAACCACTTGTGCCAATTCAACTCTTTGCATGGCTGTGCCCTAAATTAAGCTGTGAAATGGTCAAGACTTTTCAGAAAAAAATAATGAAATCATAGGAGAAAAGCTGAATTCAAGGGACAGCTCTTTGAAATCCAGCTGAGCTCACACATCTGACTCACAGCACAGCTGGACTGGCATATCCAGGAGGAACGTTCATGGCCAGCCTGGGTGAGTGGGAACTTCTCAAACTGATTCTACCAGCAGTGAAGTACCAGGGAATTACAATCAACATTGTGCCAACCTCTGCTTAAAAATCAGAATTTTGTCTTTTTCTATATAAAATATTTAACTTTGGAATTTTTCAGAACAAAAGCTAATTCTAAATTCTAAATTTAAAGAATAACAGCCTAACAAATGCCATACACTACACCAAACTCAAACACAGCACTCAGCTACGTATCTACCATGTGCTCCCGTAGGTTTCCAGTTGTGTTTCCAGCCAGCTGCAGCTCTCCCAGTGTTCCCCTTCTGCTCAGCCTAATGTGGGATATTTCCTCTGGTTACTGGCTTAGCCATGGATGGAGCAGATCCTTTACCATCCCTACTCTACCTAAAAGCCCAGGACAACACCTGCCAGCCAAAACAGAGCTGACTTCATGACCGCCAGCTTTCTCTGCATTATCCCAATAACTCCTGCAACCCCCCCTGGGATTTTCCCACTTCACCAGTAAAGGAGGAAGAAGGCGTGATGCTAGAGGGAGGAAAAGGGGTGGAGGAAGCAATTCCCAGACCAGAGCCCAGCTCCAGGGGCTGAGGGTGGCCGGTGGAGGGGTCTGGCCTGGCTCACCGCAGTTGAACTCCTGGGCAGTCAAGGTGACGATGGAGCGGCCGTGCAGGTCCCGAGGAGCCTCACAGGTGGCAGCTGTCTGGATGCTGCCCTGCTCAGCGTATTTCTTCAGCAGCTCAGCCAACCACATCAGGTCACAGTCACAAAACAAGGCGTTGGAGTCCAGCCGCCTGCAAGGGCCGAGGAAAAGGGCAGCTCATTTCCCGGCCTCCGACCGCTGCGCTGCCTCCTGGAGGCCAGGACACAGGAGGGGAACAGTCCTCGGGAGTGAAGGGGGCACCTGGTTGTTTTTCCCTGCATTTGATCATATCCCAAATAAAGTTTGAGGTATCTCATCCCTGCGACGGTTAAATAGGATGCTTATCCAAGCAGAAGGATTTAATTGAAAAACTAACATTACCCATTCCAGTTTCAAATGAAAATCATTCACTTAAACTGGATTATGAATTTTTGGCCTAATTTGAGGCAAAGAAAGACTCTGATATACTGGGTTTTCCCCCTGGAAATTTCAGCCTTTACTGAATTCTCTAAGAACAGCAGGTAACACTGACTCTGTTACAGCTTTCCATTTTCTTCTAGCCCCCAAAACCTCCCCCTTGTTTTTTGTGTGCACCAGACCAGTCCCTTTCTGTGACCAGCTGTGAGAGGTTGTAGCATTTCTGCACAACTATATGAACTTTTATTACTGCAACATAAGCCTGAACCACGTGGAATGGAGCTCCAGTGACCTCCCAGTGCACCCACCCTCTTTCCCTCCACTGACCTCATTCGTACGAGCAGTGCTATCCATAAGGATAAATAAGGACTACAGAGGGATTAGTTCATGCTTCCTTCCCCACTGACAGTTTTACAATCAATGGGTTTGAGCCATCCAAAAAAAAAAAAAAACCCAACAAAAAAACAACAAAACAATGGAAGAAAGGTCTAATGCTTTCAGGGTCACATATTTGAGAATGTGAGATTTCACACAAGGCCATGACAGAACATTTTATAGACATCCCAGCTTTTTCTCTGACACCTACAGACAGCATTTCACAAGTTTTTCCCTGTTAAAGAGAAGTGAAGCATTTTACCTGCTTGCAGAAATCACTGAGGGCTGCAGCGAGAAACATTATTTTATTGCACTTGAAAATCATGGCAGGACACCAAAATTCTCTACCTTTTGCATTTTTTTTCCCCCAAACACATCATAGAACTTGTTTCCAGAGATCATAAAACCAAAGCAAAGCTCTGGGGGTTTAAGCAAGAAAGAAGTAAGCTTAAGAGACGGCCAGGTTATGTGGGAAAAACACACTGGGGAATTCCTGCATGGAAGGAGAATCATGCACCTTGGCACCACTCTGATTATTTTCAATCTAGAAAACAAGCCTTTTCTTTTATGACTATGATTTTTCCTTCCATGTTAGATACTGATCTACAGACATGATCGAGGTCATATCCGTGACCTGCACTCTCTATATTTTTCAAGGATGTTTTACGGGGTCAGACCGTTGTGAAGACTTTCCAGGAACGCTCATTCCTGTGGCATTATTAAGCTGTAAGCTGATTATAATTAGCCACTAGAATAAAGAAACTTCTAACTGGTTAAATAAGCTTTCGGGTCCAACCAAAACTGTTTCATAAACTTAGCGGTGGTCTTAGAAGTGCAACAACTGAAAGCTTTGCCAACCAGGCACATTCTTCCTCGGGTCCTGGCCATCTGATCGAAGATAAACAAGTGCTCTTTGCAGGCAATGTTTTTTACTTACAGCCGTTTGAGGGATTCCAGTTGAGAGAATGTCCCTGGATGAATCCTGGAAATCTTGTTATTGTGCAAGAATCTGAAATGGGAGAAGCCAAGCCAAAACATTATTCAGTATTTGCACTACGGGGGTGACAACATCCCAGGTCAGAACTCAGTTTAACCGCAGCTCAGTTTTTGCATTCCGTGTTTGTTTCCATGAGCTGCAGGAATTTCACCCATTTGTGGGTACGATGCAATATGCCAAAGAGGAGAGCGGGTGTGGGCTGGAAAGGGTGACTCAAGATGTGATGTAACAGGTTTAATGGGAACCTTAAAGTTTCTCTGCAAAGGGAGGAGAAAGGGCACGAAATCCCAGGCCAGACACACCCTCTGTTTTCTGTGCCTGGGTCAGTTCCAGGGGGACCTTTTCTTTCCCCCCTGGCAGATGACATGACAACTTTACAAGGGCAGCCACTGGAGGATGGTTCCAGGAGAAGTTGGACAACTCATGCCTTAGACTCAGTGTTGTTATTAACCCAAACTCATGAGTAAATCTAATTCAGACAACAGCTGTCCAAGCTGGGCTTATCTCTGAACAAAACTGAGCAAAATTTTCATTTCTAGAGTCTTAGCCCACAGACAGCACTCCCCAGTTCTTAGGGAAAAACCCTGATTCCATGAAAATGCATCAGCGGGGAACAAGATGGGATAATTAACTTCCCATTCCCATAATGATGGGGAAATTTATTTTTGTTGGTTACAACTAAAACTAATAAGAGACCATTGATAAAAGACACGAAGCAAATTTTGGAGATGGTGAAACGGGAGAGAACACAAAAGCAGCACAGCTTGAGTGCAAATGTCTGCACACACACATGTGTGCACCCGAGTTCAGCCTGGTTGCTGACAAAACCAGGCTGACAAACCTTCCTTTAAAATTTAAATCCAGCATTTTTGTTGGATCAAATACAGTGACTGAGATCAGCCACACACTGATCCAGGTCTGAATTTTCCTAAGGGTGTGGGATCCCACAATTTTATTTCCCTGGCACATATGGATATAATGCACATTTCCACACAGCAGAGAAGGGTCTGCTGGTTTCTCCACGGAGCAGGAACACCACATGGTCTGTTGTCCTAGTGGCTACATTACTACTAGAAGCAATCCTGGGGAGCAGGAGACACAGGACTCCATTTCCTTACTGCTTTCAAGAAGGATGCGTGTTTTTCTTGTTAGATTTTTTTTCTGACTTTATCCCTTTTCCATCCCCTTTTTTTTTTGCACACTCTGCCCAGCAGTGACTAATGTTGCTGACCTTATGGTCAGAGAAAAATTTCACTTGGCTTGGCCAGCTCTAGGGCTTTCTGCAGATTTACCCCTGTTTAGATGGAAACCTGAACATAACATAAAAGGGGAAATTCCCTTCACATCCTCAGTCACCCATCTACTTGGCAAGTATGTAAAACCTCCTTCTTTAAAGAAGTTTCTTTTTGCATTTCCCTCCATTTTGAAGATCTCACTTCATGCTACCAAAACTGTTACACAAAAAGAAGGAGTTTTCCCTTCTCCTCACGCCCTTACTCCCAAGAAATGTCCTATCTTTACTTACAGCCTTTCAAGTTTAGGCAGGTCACTAAAAGTCTCCAGCTCCAGACTTTCCAGGTTGTTGAAATGCAGGTACCTGTCACACAGAAATCATACAGATTGCAATTTAAGAGACAGAAGATCTTCCCAGATCAATCCACCAATGCCCCCCCCGCTGGTCACCACACTGTCTCAGGGCAGATGTTGAGAAGCCAGAATCCACTTTAGTGTCTCCACTTTCCAGATGCAAACACAGTGGCCAACATGGCTTTTCCCTATCCTGTCAATTATTTACTCTGTCTCTTAATAAACTAAAACAGAGACAGAAAAAAAAAAAGGATAGATTTGCTGGTTTGTTTTCCCCTGAAGACCAAGACCACCATCACTGTGAACTGCCTGTTGCACTGTTCAGGGTCAGGAGGAAACTACTGCTCATGGAGACCCAGCAGCAGCTGCTCCCATCCAGGTATTGTACAGTAATTTTCCCTGTCTTTCCCAACATCTTCTTGGATTGTTGGGGAGGAAGACATGGCCTTACTACAAGGCACTTGTTCCCAGCCTGGGAATTGCAACAGTTCTGAGTGGAAAATGAGTTTGCTGGTGATTAATTTCTAGAAAAAGGTCCTGAGCAGCCTGATAAAACTTTGAAATTGGTCCTTGCTGAAGGTGAGACTAGAGACATCCAGAGGTCTTTTCCAGCTTGCATTTGTGTGTGGTTCTTACAGGGGCTCCCAGCACATGTATCCACCCAGCAGGAGCAGAAACATCTCCAAATGGCTGGTGTGGGGCTGTTGTGTTCTGTGGAGGGAAGGCACAGCCCCCAGAAACAGAGATGGTGCAGTCACCTGGAACACTTAGATCTAAACAGCACATCAGCAGAACAGCCCAGTTCTTGCTAACACAAGTTTATGGTTTTAGTTCCACTAAAACCTCAAGTGTGACCTGCTACTCCAGAGGCCTGGGAGACCTTGTGTCCCAGGTCACCCCTTGTCATCAGCAAAGCAAACCTGGGGTCTGCAGAGCAACTCACCACAATATCTGACACTTCTTGTTCTCATGAGCTGTGACATTCACCACCACAACTGACATGTTCCTGACCTTTAGATGCATTTCTCATGGTTCCAAAGTTGCCTAAACTCTTCCCTCTTATTTTACACAGGCATAAATTTCACAGCAGACACAGATTAATCACAGATCTACAAATACTCATTCTGCTATTGTAGCTGAATGCATTGAGAAATAATTGCCTAAGCCTCCACATGGCTGTTTGATTTGTAATGGAAGGATTCATGATAAATGGTCCAGTATCAGAGCGCAAACTGGGAGACGGTGACTCAGATTCTGCACTGGAGGGTCACAGTGGGGAAGAGATGTGCGTGCTCTAATCAGGCTCAGATGTCTGCTGAAAGTGCTTTGGACCTTGAGGAAACCATCTGATACTGCCCATCAATCGAGCTATACTTTTTCTTGAAAAGCTGGCTTGGGGGTGACAGGAAAATGGGGTAGAATTTGAGCAAAGCTAATTCTTCTGGAACTATGCCCGCCCAAGATTGAAAACAGATGGGACTTTCAGTGGGTTGTTTGTTGGTTTTGTGGTTTTGTTGGGTTTGTTTTTTTCTTTTATTCGTGACATCAAGTCTGGAACGCTCATTGTTGAAATACCCCTGCTGCCAGCACCAGCTCTCTAAGCTCAGCTTAGAGCCAGTTTCGGCTTCCTATATTTTCTCCCATGCATCCTTGCTCAGCTGGCTGATGAAAAACCATATTTTATACACACACACCCCCCTATTGTTAGGCTTGCCTGACACTTCCCATTTCCACTTCTGCTGTCAGCATGGAGAACAAGCTGGATCCTATCCCTTTTACGGCAAAATCTTTACTTACATTCCAGCCCTATAAACATTGTTGTTGGGGACAATGCACGAATCAGAATGGTTTCACCTTTAGTGCCTCGTCTTCAGTAAGGCAAATAATTCCTATAATTAAAATATTTAGGAAGAATAAATAATAAGGAAGAAATTCTTCCCTGTGAGGGTGGTGAGGCCCTTGAACAGGTTGCCCAGAGATGCTGTGGCTGCCCCATCCCTGGAAGTGTTCAAGGCCAGGTTGGAAGGCCATCACTTCTTTTGTTTGGATCCATCATTTTCCCCCATTGCAACGCCCAGATGCTTTACAGCATGTGAGCATCACCATCCTGGTAGCTCCCACAAATGCCTGTCTGCCCCAGCTCTCAGTTTGCACTTTATCCATTCCTTCCCAGCAAAGCTTTGGGTAAGAGAGAAACTCAAGCAGTCCCTCAATTTAAGTAAAGGGCCAGATCAGCCCTCTGCTCCTGGAGTCCCAGCAGACACAAACCCAGCAGGCCAGCTGCCTGCTGCTTCAGGCCACCCTGCAGACCCCTGTCTCTTCCCATCATAAGGTCCTTGGACATAAAGGGCATCAGAAGCACAGCTGGTTCTTCCTATGCTCCAGAGGTTTAGGATCAGAAAAAAACCTACAGGAAGAGACCTCAGTATTTACTAACCAAAATCAGTGCTGGGACCAACTGTTTTCAAATTAACCCAGTGGCAAATCTGGCTGATCAAACAGAAGCTTCATCCTACCCCTTCCTAAAGTGCCTGGTACTCTCCACATCTGGAAACACAGCAAGCAAGGTTCATCTGTACTTACAGCTGTTCCAGGGAATGGAGCCCGTGGAAGGCATGTTGCTGGATGCTCTGAATTTCGTTTTTATAAAGGTAGCTTTCAAAAGGAGAGAAAGGAAAAAGCATTAGGCCAACTCATCAGCAGCTGTGTTCTAAAAATACAAAGGAAACAATAATGAACCTCAAGTCGAAGCAGAGCTTGTCGATTGGATTCAAGGGCAATGTTTCATACCTGACGCTGACATTAACATCCAGGAACTCCAAACACAAAAAAATATGTCCTTGGCTGGCAAACATTAAAAGCGGGTTGGTAAATTTTAAAGTGGTTAAGAAAATACCAACTCACAGGTATTTCAGGTTCTCCAGATCTTCAAAGGATCTTCTCACAATTTGTTTTATCTGATTATTGTTCAGCAGCCTGTTCAAATCAAGAGAGAAAAATACAAGTGGTGAATTGAGCACATGTGAGATTTGTGGCTTTTCTGTTCTCGGATGCCCACTGAAAATTCCTGAGCTTGCTTGTCAGAGAATTTAAGATTTAAAGGGTTAGCAGATCAAAGTTTGTGTACTCACACCAGCCAAATCAATGAGAAGGTCTCTTACCCAGAGGTGCCAAGTGCTTCCAATATGTACAGTGTTCAAAGTCTTTTGCCACAGGCTTTTTGTTCAAACCACTTTTTGCCACAGTGGTTTTCAGCCCCAAGTTACAATTTTGGCCAGGAAAGGGATGAGGGGAAGGGAGACAGGCAGAAGGAGGCAGAAGGGAGGGGGATATTAAATCATTGCTGCCACTCTTGTACAACCACGTTGGTTTTTGGAGGTGCCTGGTTGTGTTCAACCTGGGAGCAGGGGAGTGCAGAGACAGTTTTTAAGAGTTCAAATGCATTTTAAAACACCAGCTCACACAGTGGAGTTATAGGAGCTATAAAATGGTAACAGCTTTGTTCTAATCACTTGGTAAACCAATATCTGCAAATGAGAAAGAAATAAATTCAGTTCTGACTCCTGAGGCTACTCAGAGACAGCCTCTTTCGATCTAGGGAGCCTTGTGCCAGATTTTAATAAAAAACCTATGGGCCACATCACATTGGAAAGCAATCTCTGACTTGTATGTGCAGTTGCCATGACTGTGCATGCAAATGATGGCCGGTGCCAAGGACCAGAAACAGCTCAGCCCTGTAAAGAACCACACTGTGCAGCAGTGGTAACCACACAGCTGAACGCTACAAAAGCCTCTTCTGCAGCCACTGCCAAGCCCAACACCGAGCAAAGACAATAAATCACTTATAAATAGCTCTTTAATATATGAATTTAGCTATTCATCGTGGCTGCCCAACCGCACTCCTGTGGGTCTGTCGCTGTGGTATCCCACTGATTGCAGATCTGGCGAAGCTCAGAGCTGGTGGAGTTTAGAGCTGAATAGCCCAGAGCGAGGATTTTACCAGCTACACTAATTTTTAAAATTCCTAAATGGGGTTGTGGATGGAGAGGAGAGATGTGACTGTGTGCTGCAAAGATTTCTTTTCCTACCATTGTAGGAAAAACTGCAATTCCCTCTGCGAGCAGCCAGACCTCACAACGCTGGGTCAAGTTTAATACATGCACTAAATGTGCATTTTCTATTTTACAAGCTGATTTTTGTGATAATTCTGCTCCTCAGGAATGACCTGCCACCAGGCAGCAGTTGAGAAGACAGTTCAGCACTTTCCCAGCAGTAAAGCCTAATCTTCTGTCCCACTTTTCCAGAGAAAATAGGGCAGCCAGCCTCTGTCATTACAAGCCAAGGTCTCCACCTGGGAAAAACAGTTGGTGCAGACAAATGATGGAGAGAAAAGACAAAGAGATGGGGAGAAATGGTAGAAAGCATGTGGGAAAAGAAGATGAAGATAAAATCAAATGCCTCAGGGATGACAGAAAAGATAAAAGATGACAGAAAAGATAAAAGATGACAGAAACACACGTGTGATGGCAGGTTCACAAGTTCCCACCAGGCACCTGAGTCACACCAGCTTTCTACCAGCTTGTTCTCAGGTGGAGAATTACATTAAGCACCCAAAAAGCACATGATAAACTCAAGTGCACAGAACTTTGGAAGTCAAATAATAAGGGTTTGAGAAAAACCTCATTATTCTTGATTTGACTGCCCTCCCTTGATCAGCTGCCCAGATGCCATGGATGTGGGTGCCACTACCAAACTGAACATCACCAGGGTTGGGGACAAGCAGCCTGAAGAGGTCAAGGCAGAAGGTTGCTGGAGAGTTCCTGCACAGGTGGGAGCAATGGCTCAATACACATGGCTGAGGTCAAACAGCCCAACTTCCCTCATAAGGAAGCAAAAATGAAGTCCTTGGAACACACCATCCTGCTTTGACAGCCAGCTCTGCTGAGTGGAAATACAGTCCCTGAACACCAACCCAAAGGTTTGTTTGGTGACTGAACACCCAAGGGCTGGAAATAACTGCCTGAGAGCAGTACAGGAGAGAGCTTTTGTCTATTTACCCACGGTACAAAGACAACACGGCCCAGCCGCGCCAGCTTCCTTCCCTGCCTCTATCAGCACACTTTCATCTTTGGCCAGGGCAGGACAAAGGTAGCTTGTTCTCTGCTATCTGATCCTTGGCCCCACTTCTGAGGGCATGATGGGCTGACAGGTGAGTGCCAGCACCAATGTCACTGCCATGGATGTGAGCACCTGGATCCTGCCACGCAACCGGCATCGGCTGCTCCCCCACAAGGGACAGGACACAGGTGAGCAGGTCCTGGAGCAGGGTCACACCAACAGCCTGAGCAGCCCCACACACCACCGTGCTCTGGACTCCTTTTCTGACCATTATCTCTTGTGCAAGGAGTTCAGACCAGGAGTTCAGACCGGGATTTCAAATTGCAACATGCTGTCTGACTGCATTTTGGGGCTATTTAAAAGCATTAACCTAGTCTGTTTTGTTGTCTTGGCTGTTTTGGACAGTGCAAGGGAGTGTAATCAGTGATGCAGCCAAATAAGACAAATTCTGGAAGTTCAGATGGCAAGCAGTCCACAGGCCTCTTATCTCATCGTCTGATACTTAGAAATTTGTTCATTGCCTGATTAAAGAATAAAAAAAGCATGGAAGAAGCCATCTCCGCTTCCTGTGTCAGGATTCCCCATTGTAATGGAAGGATAAGTCCTGGAAAACATTAGAAAGTGAGATAATTGATGAAGTCCATCACAGTCCACATATTCCAAAATTCTGCTTTCAGAGAAATCCATAGACAACACAGCACATCTGGCTCCTAGAAAGACTTTGGATGGCTTCTGCACAGCTGTCTGCTCCTTGACTCCTGTGCAATTCATCCAGGCAGAGAAATGTGCAAAATCCTGGCATGACCTGGCTACGGATCCCAGCTGCAATCCACAGCAAAAATGCCCAAATTCCTGCAAACCTTAGAGGATTGAAAGCTAAGATCTACTGCTAACCAGATCTGCTGGGAATAAATGCTCTGGCAGACAGAGGCTGGAAAGATCATTATCATTATTTTAAGCACACCCTGTAGCAAAACAGGCTAAATTAAAAGTATCAGAAGCACGTTTCCTAGCAAAATGACGTGGCATTTCCCTTCATGCCAGATGGTGAATTGGGCTCCAAATAAGTAGGTGTACTTAATCACACAGGTTTTACTCCTGAAAAAATCTTCTGGGATGTTTGAGATATACAAGCATGATGAGAACTGGCCCAGATTCACCAGAAAGAATATTTTACATTCAGTTTCCTTTAGGTTTTATGTCCTGACTGCCTCTTCCTTCTTCCCCACCCTCCCTCCAGGTTGCCAAGCACAGGCTTAACTTGCATTAAATGAGTCGTTTTCTGTTTTTTGAAAAATGTATTAAATGATGTGACAGTACAGAATTCAGACTCAAACCATGTACTCTTTCCTCTTTCTGTGTGACAAAACACATGCTACAGTCATTGTGACATAACAGCTATTTTTTTTCCTCACACCATTAACAGAAATCATCATGTAGTGCATTAAAAGGGGGAGAAAAAGTGAGTTTTATGTTCAACCGTGCATTCTCCCCTGTTGACAGAATGATCTGGAATAGCCATTTCCCACATTTGAGGAAGGAACTTTTATCCTGAGATCCAAGCAGACTCTGACATCCCCTCCTTGCTGTCAGGAGCACGTTCTCTCAAGAGCTACTGGAGGATAAAACACAGAGACTCCACGTTACTGCTGTTGTTCATCCTGAGACCCTTCCCAGGCATCTAGAGCAGAGCTGCAGGGCTCACCAGAAATGCCCTTTGCTCTCACCCAAGCAGCAAGAGAAATGTGATGTGAGCAATGGCACTGACAGGACAAAGGGGCAGGCAGAGGCACACACAGCGTGGTCTCCACAGGGTCCCTGTTCTCCTGGGTGCTCGTGCCTCAGGCAGAACAAAATACATGCTGGGGAAGTTGAGAATTACTGCTTTGGTCTCTGGGTTGGATGTTTCTAAAGATGATGCTGGAGAGACCCAAATAGCAGCAACCATTTGGCTGTGATGGTCTTGGTTTGAGAATACAGAGATGGATCAACTGGGTCACCATGGCAGAGTTCTGACTCTTGTGGGAACGTGTAAGGACCATCCCCACCCAAAGATGACCTAAAGGAGCAAAAACTGGAAAGCAATGAGAGGCTGTGCCTCACCATGAGCTTGTAGCGTGTTTGCTCTCTTTCTTCCACAGCCCAACACCTGCTCTGAGCTAATGTTGGCTTCAGTGATGCAGAGAGTGCTGGCAAACTCCAGCAAAACAGCTGTCCAGGAGCTGTGGTATTTTGTGGATGGCATACAAGAGGGGGTTTTGCCTCTTTCTCCCTTCTACTCTTTTTTTTTTTTCTTTTACCAAGGGGACATGTTAAGAGTTTAAAAATACACAAGGAGATCCTCACCAACACCTGCACAGGAACTCAGCAGAGGCAATAGGAAGGGATGAGGAAATCTTACAACTCTCTAAGACATTTAGCCCAAGAGGACTTCTCCAATGCACATAACATTGCAGAGAGCTAACAAGGAATCTCCCAGTGGTGCAGGATTTAGGATAACCTGTGGTGCTGTACCAGGAATCCCCAGCCAGAAACATACAGTGACTGTATCTCTTCCACAAAGAGGGTTTCTGTTTTTAATGTTAAAGTAGTGCTCTGTGATTTATCAAATCTCCCACACCAGGGAAAAGCAGAGAGGAGTCAGAGGAGGGTTTGAACTGTTGAACAGCCCCACTGGACACCCACACAGGCTCCCAGCTCACCTCCCTGCATCCAACGCAGGCTACAAAGGCTTCCTTATCAGGGTGGTTTACAAACTGTCAAACTTGGATATAGTACAGCCATCCTGCCCAAAAGGAGATGCAGAACAGAAGCTTCACCAGAATCTGCTGCCCTTCCTCTGCCTTTGTAGGAAAAAGCTCTTCAAAACACATTTATTTGCTTATGGAACATTTAAGTTCCCATGGCAGAAAGATGCAAGCTCAGAGCTCTGCACGTAGAACCTGAACCACTCTATCCTCCAAAGATCCCACTTCAAATTTTCTGGACAAACTTTCCCAGGAAGTCTCTCAGGGATTTTAAATGATTTATTCCCTTTATCACTTGAAGACCTGTCTAAGTCCTCAGGCGAAAGTTTACCATCTAAGCAGCATCAGCAGATTCTTCCAGTCTCATCAGTTTTGACGTGGGAATTGGCCAAACCAAAGTTCCTGGAGAGAAATTTGCTTCAGGAGTGAGAGGTCTGACATTCTCTCATTCAGTTATCAAGCTCCTCATCCTGGGAGTTAAATGCTACAAGTGTGAGAAGAACTGATTTTTCCAGTGTGCTGGCCAGACCAGGAAATACAACTGAGCATATGAAATACTATCTAAATGGAAATGTTTCCTTTACACATCCAGTTGATTTTGGGAATTCAAATATAAAAATGCGGGATTTTGTCAGAGCAGTGTTTCACCTAGGCCAGTATTCCAGCTCTGATGATGGCCATAGGACAGTATTTAGGAAAAGCAGGAGTGTCTGCCCACCATCTGTGAAAACACATTGTTCTTACTGCTCTGGCATCTGAAATCATGAGATCAGGGATGTTAGGGGGTACGTAACTGCCTTCAGTACCTGTTCATGGACTTGCTGTCCTTGAGGTCCCTGACCAGGAGAGTGTGGATGTAGAAAGGAAAAAGAACTGGACAAATTCATGGAGCATAAACAGGTATTACAGGGAGACAGGTCTTTCCTCTTCCATCAGGCTGTGTATCTATATCTGGCTTTATGCAGAGTGTCAGGAGTCAGAAAGACAGAAGCAGAAGTCTTGCACGTGTCAGAGACCTGCCCAGCCCAAGGCAAGGCAGGAAATGGGATCTCTTACAAAGCTCGGCAGGTTGGGGGGAGCATCTCTCCAAGTGAGGCCCTGCCAGCATCCTTATTTTCCCCAGGGTTCAGCTGAAACTCGCCTGGTGGTCCTGCAAGCTGCCTGCCAAACATCTGCCTGGATCACACAGGGATGACATCATCTGGAACTGCTTGTTTCCTCGACTCAGGAGAGCTTCAGGGGTGGAAGAGCAGGGCTGGAGATCAAGAGACCTCAGGAGAGCTTTGTGATAAGGTAAAACCCTATGGACTCAGACTCTACTTTCCCTCTACATACTTTAGTCTCATTCATCACCCTATCTGACCCCATCTCAAATGACAGAAATCCACCCAAAGCATCCTTTCCATCTATTATTTTTGGCAATTAAGTACCACACGGTGCTGTTTGAGAGACTAACATGGGCTGTTCTGGTGCTGTGGATGAACAGCATCATTGGTAATAAAGCTTTTGACCAGCCTACTAGTGGACCACCTGTCTTATAAGCAGGGGTCTGGGCCACAATCAGGGTACTTTGAAGCGTCCTGCAGTCATGGCTTGGCCAATCAGTCCCACACACAGAGTGGAACAATCTTCAGCAAATTTTGATTTTTAGAAGATAACTATTGAACAGGTCTCTATGATAAAGTCCTGTTGTATTACCACTCTTCCTAAACTACTCACAATTAACTACTTAACAATTGAATGCCTTTTTGCCCAGGTCTTCCTTCCTTCAGCTCTGCCACCTTCACAGGATCAGGGATTTCAGATCACTCAAGGTATGACAGCAAAAAAGCAACCTGGACTTTCTCTTACCATTTGGGACCATGAGTGTACAAATGTCTGTCGTGCAGTGCAGGTTCCCAAACAAGCTGGTTTGCCTCACTGAGGAATTCCAGCTTGGACCTGGAAATCCCATGGCTGTTAGCACCGTGTTACAGCTCAGATAATTGGATCTGAGTCTCAACAGCTCAACTACATCCACACAGTGCTGTGCTGACACAGCTTCTGGTTCTGATTTGGGAGCTGGTGTGTTTTCAGCTTCTTGGCTACAGGGTGCAGATTTACTCAGATCTGCCTTCAAACCCTGCAGCAGCAAGAACAAGCAAAGGCTCCCATGATTTCCTTTGAGAAGAGTGAAAAGCTCGTTAGTAGAGTTGTACATCAATGTGAGTGAGGGATGAAAGACTGGAGGAACTGCTTTCTACTCCCATTCCTACCTGGAGTAGGGTAGGTGTAGGCATCTATTCCAGGGCAAGGCATAGGGACAAGGTGGCATTTGAAAGATGCTCTCTCACTTCAATCAAACTCACATAGAGCAACTTATGTGGTTCCTGCATTCAAATAGGCCATAGGAAAGAGGAAGCTTTTAATAAATCCCTTCACTATTTTGCTTCCAGGTCATAGCTTCTTTTATGAGCTACTCTAAGGCCATACCTGCCCAAACATCCTCAGTTAGTACTAGAATGCATCAGATTTTTAATTAAAACAGAGGTTAATTGTGAAAAATGAAAGTTATTAAATGGCATGTTTAATTAAAAAATCTAAGAAACATGACCCAGAGTAGGACAGAGAGAATTTTAAAGCTTTAGTTGGATATGCACAATTTGATTGAAATAACTAAAAGCCCAAGGGCACCTTTAAATAGCTACAGGGGACAGTACCAACACAAGTAATAAATGGACATGCTCAGAGTGGAACTTACAGTGTGTTGAGGTTCTTCAGTCTTCTGAAGGCTCCAGGTTGTATCTCCTTGATGTGGTTGAAGCGTAAATCTCTAAAAGCAGAACACATAAACAAGCCATTAGCAATCAGCATCATCCCCATGAGGAAGGGAGGAGGGCTGCTGGGAGGGTCTATCACACCAGGCCTACATCAACAGGAAAAATGGAGACAAAGACCAGGGAACAGAGTGGAGAAGGGGTGGCAACAATGGTTGGGGTTCTGCTCTTGTCTGCAGTGAGCTGGGACAAGCCTACATTGAGAAAATTCAATAGTCTAATTTCACAGAAAACTAAACACTGAAAGGACTCAGGTGATCATTTCCACGAGCAGCAGAAAAGGTCTGCAGCAAAACACCCCAAGTTCAAGTGCAATTACACTTGCATCTCATACTAATTTTTAAGGGAACACTCATCATCACATGGACCCGTATTTTAGCTCCCTAGCAAAACTATCTTTGCCCTAAAATGGTTAAATCTGCTCAAATAACCTCATATAATAAGCATTTCCCATTTTGCTCCACAATGCTCCAAGACTCACAACAGCTTATCGCTGCCTGCATTTCAAATTTGTGCCAACTTCAATTAGAATTACTGGACCCCAGGGGATTCTGGCAATTTCCAAGGGCTGCCCACGGAACTACATCAACTTGGAACCCTAAAACATGGGGTTTGGATTGCTAATGAGATAATAAAATAAGAGCTAAGTGGTTTAACCTGGTTAACCAAGTAGAAACACTTCTATAGGGACTGTGCATTGATTTGGCACCTCGCACGGCCCAGTGTATTATAACAAATCACAGAAGGCTGACAAATGGGGTTTGCTGCAAGTTTCTGTCCAAAGCAAAACAATGAAGTAGATTTTTTAATCCTACACTGCTTGATCTATCCCATTTAGAGAACACACAGCTATTTTTCAGTTTAAGGCAGCCTTTTAAGGGCATTTGCTTTAAGAGGAAAAATACACGAGTTGCCCGTCATTCTAGTGATAACTTACACATGGAAGCAGAGTTTAAAATAATAATTCTACAAATAGCTACAAGTTCAACACTTATTTTTAGACAGGCATCAACAAGAATCGTGGCCTTTATAAAATTCAGATTAGAAAGAGGTGCAGTCCTTGCAGGTGAGCCCAAAGTGACAGGGAGGACCTGGGGGGGCTGAAACAGCTTTGAGCAAGTACTTGGAAAGAGGTTACACAATAAGTAAAGCTGATTTTATTTTAAGATCATAGAATCACAGACTGGTTTGAGTTGGAAAGGACCTTGAAGATCATCCAGTCCCACCCCCTGCCATGGGCAGGGACACCTTCCACTAGCCCAGGTTGCTCCAAACCCTGTCCAACCTGGCCTTGAACACTTCCAGGGATGAGGCAGCCACAGCTTCTCTGGGCAACCTGTCCAGGGCCTCCCCACCCTCTCAGGGAAGAATTTCTTCCTAACACCTAATCTAAACCTGACTTCTTTCAGTTTAAAACCATAGTCCCATGATGTAATGTTTCTTAATAATACAGTCCCATGATGTAATGTTTCTTAATTTGCAAACTTGATAGTTTGCAAAACTAGTTCTTTTACATCAAAAAATGCACAATAATTTTCTTACTTTTTAGGCAGAAAATGCATGGCAATTTTACTCGCATTACACTGAAATATTAAATCTCTGCCTTGTTACCCCTTTGTTATTAGTGAATGCAACAGAACACAGGCAAGTGGACATTGTCTTTTCTGTTGTGTTTTTCCTTTAACTTTTCCACCTTGACCAAAGGAATCAGAAGACTGATACAGGAAGAAATCTTTCCCCTCTCTTGGTGGTAAGTATTGCACACAAAAGAGTTAGAGTGCAGAAAGAAACACAGCTTCACAGTATTTCAAGAAAATGTTTCTAATTGTAATTCACCAGCTCTGTTTGTCCACTGCAAACTGCAGTCCCAAAGGATCATCCTTTGGAACTGTAGTTTTTAACTTCACCTTTGACATTTTCAGGTGTGTTTGGCTTTATTTGCATTGCTGCAAATGTGTGTTTCTTGTCCTTCTTCTTGGAAGGAGTTACACATCCTTCTTCCCTGATGATGTGAATTTGAAGGTGTCTTTACAGAGTTTTCAAGGGAATGACTGACACCATAAAGGCAAATACAATTAAACACTGGCAGCACTGATAGCACAATGTGCTGCCTGTTCTCCATGGCCTCACTAAAAGGAAATGAGGAAAGACTAGACCATGAAAAAAGGTGAAGAAATACAAACTTGATTTATACACTGCAGCGCACAGATACCAACTCTGCCTGCCCTGGGGGGTTGTAAAGGGCTGTGTAATTAGTCCAGGCAGCTGGCTACAGGTAATAGGGAACATTACAAGTCCATGGAAGGAATACACAGGGGTCAGGGCTGGAGCTGTTGATGCTCATGGAAGGCAGCAGGGAGCAGGCAGTGAAGTGTAAAATACCACTTTGGGTCACAGGCTGCAGGCGGGGAAAAAAACCCTACGACTATTGTAATGACCAAAGACAACTGCAATCCTTCCCAGCCCTCCTTCACACTGAGGCACTCAGCTCCCACAGCTGAAACAAAAAGCAAAAGCCAGAATGACAGGTAAGAGAGAACACCTCTGAAAACACAGGAAAAAATAAACCACTAATGTAGATGTCCTTGAGTAGCCAAGAAAGTCCTTGGAGATGCAGAGGAACCTAAATCTTCCTCTTTACCATGTAAAAACCCCAACACTTTGGCTCATCCACAGTGTTTTCTCTCCAGACCTTGCCTTAGCCTAAAGCACCACTGGCAATGAATGTCATGGAGGGCTGCACTGGGAATTTCCTGGCTTGCCTGTATTTGATTGAGAACATTCCCTACAGAGTTTGCCTCCTCTTACACAGAAACACTTGTTTCTCTCTATTCCCAGGGCGCTTATTCTGGAAATTTACATTTCTTTTCACGAACAAGTGTGCTTTTCACAGGGACCCACACAGCTTCTCCCATGCCCAGCTGCTTCCAGCTGCCCTGTGCACCAGCAGCTGGGCTCCCTCGCTCCTGCCTGCTTCTTTCTACCTGGGAATTTGCAAAATGGGGAGAAAAGAATAATCCCTTGTGATTTAACTCTCTCCCATGTTTTCAAGGCCTGCAGTCTGGGATTACAAGATACCTTCCCACAAGGAACAAAGGGAATATCTGCTGCTAAAAGATCCCAGATTCTCTTCTACCTTCACACACACAGAGTGCTCACTGGAGGCCTGGGACAGCAGCTGTCCTGGGTCACCCAATACTGATCCCTCCGGACAACAACAGCTTGACTGGCTCAGCAGAAAATCTCACCAAACCCTTGTGCCAAAGCACCACAGCTCTGACAGGAAAGTGAGCTGGAATACCTGGATAATCTGGGATCTGCTACAGAAATAACTCGCCTTTTCTGAATTTGGGAACTCAATCCCATTATAGAGGTACACAGAAGGCGAGAACTTGCAAATGCATTGGGAAATGGGTCTTGACAGAAAGACACTCCAATCTGTCTGAGGCTCTCAGCTGCTGTGAGAACAATCATCCCTGCAAGCACTGTGTGAAATAATTATCAGTGATTAGCATATAAAACAATCAATGGCTTTTACAAGAAACTTCCATTTCTGTTTAACCTATTTAGGCTTTCACAGACTCATGTATTACTATGTTAACTAAGCAGATAATTAGCTACAAAAGGCATTTTACTGCAGTTCCATGGAAATTACTGGGTTGGTTTCATCGAAGCATCCTTTGTGCACAGCAGTAATGCTGACAGTTCTGGAGCATTTCACCCAGAACTGGTTGGTAAGTGGCAGCCACACAATCATTACCAACAATGACACAGAGAGTAAAGGTGGTTTTACAGAGGCAAGATGCTGAGGTTCCTACCAGTGTCTCCTGAGGAAGCCAAGGTGTGAAAGACATCCTAAACACATCCTAAAAATATCCTATAAGTCAAGTTTCCATATATAAGAAGAATCAGAACATTTACCAGAAAAATGCTCGTTTCTCTTGCTTATCTGCAGAACATCAGAGTCAGCTCTGCAGGTTCCCCCATCCTGCCAAAATACTCCAGTCCTGGCAAGAAGGAAAAACTGCCTTGCTGAGATGGAAATGAAGTCTTCCAGACTCACTGTCATCAGCTCCCAAACTCAGGAATGTCCCTCTCCCACACGAGTCCCCAAATGGCTTTAATAAATGACAGCCTTCATCTCCCAGTCCCTACATGGACAGCTGAGCGCTGCCATCTCTGCAAGGCAGATGAGGAGACCACGGGGAGGCTCAGGGCTGGGGGCTTTTCCAAGTCCTGGCTATTTTGGGGTGTACCAGCTCAAGACATTAAGATTTGACTGTTCAAAGAGTGAAGAGGAAGGAAAATATGTTCAGCATGGAAATACAAGTAAACGAGATGACAGGATCATGGTTGAAACAGTAGAGAGCGAGCAGATGCAGGGCTGTGGTTCCTTGCTACACTGCCACACCACTTATATTTTGAAGTTTTAGGGGATGGCAACACTAGATTTTAATTAAGAAATTACCACAGGCATTCCTGAACGCAGCTTTTTAAGATTTCAGCTCCCACAAACAGGAGTCAGATTTTCAAAAGGGCTCCCTCTGCGTCACAGTCCAGCAGCCAGTCTATCAAGCTGGTTTGATCCCACATTTTCTGGCATGTAAGCTGCTGGGAATGCTATGCTTCAGAGCCTGGCCTGGAAGGCAGTGCCAGGGCAGGAGGCATCTGCTGGTGCCTCATCCCTGGTGGAATCATTTCAACTGACACGTGGCATCCCTTTAGCTCCTGCCAGCAGGACAGGAGCAAGGAACACCTCCAATGCATAGTTTTGGTCCTGAACACATATTCAAGAAGGAAGACTATAAAACAAATTATTGAGGTCATCAATCTTAGATAATTTGAGCTATTATTTATTAACAGTGAGTAAGGAGTTTAGGGTCTGATCCTACTTAAACCAGCTGAGTCTATTCTTGAGCATTCCTGGCACCCAGGAGCAGGACTCTCTTAACCTAATGCCTATTTCCTTTGAACCATCTAGTCAAGATATTTCCCATATCAGATGAAGACAAACTTCCCTCCTTCTGAAGTGTGTTCTGACCCTGATCCAGAGGAAGTAAAAGAAACTCTTTAATATGCAGGATAGGTGTTGGTCTTCTGCTTTTTTAAGAGCATGATCATTAAAATTTTTATCCAGAATACACACACAATTCTTCCTTAAAAAGCAGATGATAAAATCCCAGTATATCTATGGAGAGAAGGATGTAGTGAGGGCAATGAAAATACAAATAACTCAAGTGGGAACCTGATGCTGAAGCACTGGGAAGTTCAGTGAAGGCAGGATTCCAAACACTTAAGATAGCTACAATCACAAGAGTTAGGATGCTTTCATCGCAAGATGCTGGAATGTTTCTAGAAGGAAAACATGTTTTAAGCGCCTTCCCTCCCCATTTTCCTTCCGATGAACGTACTTCTATGAATAGAAGATACAGAAGATTTTGGTCACCTCTGAAAGGTTTAATAAGGATTAAATTCTGCAGTGAAAGAAGCCAGAAAGAGATCCCACCTGGCACATGCAGAATGTGTGGGTGTGTGTTTAATGGCTGCATATAAGACCATCACACACTGAGGAAATGAGTAATCCATTCTTCAACCCAAAACACACGACAGAGACCACAATGGGAGCAGCATTTCCAAGAACTCATTTGCTCAGTAAACCTTTCCCCAACAAATGTATAAAATTCCCTCTCAAAACTATGCTCATTAACAGCCTAAGAGAGATACACCCTGTCCTACTCCAGCCTTCCTTCTGCGGGAGGAAGAGAGGAACTGAGCAGCCACCAAACAATAAGCACAATGATGAAGGGAAACAAAACTTGTAAGCTGGCCATGCTTACACTGCCCAATTAGCAGCCAGGTCTGTGAACAACTGGGTCACCTTCAGTTCATGCCAGCAATGTGCTCAGATCCCAGATCCTGCCCCGTCTTTGCCTGTGCCCTCAGCTATGTTTCTCTAGCAGGACTCATTCATTATGTGCTCTGCATAATGCAGAAAGGAGAATAACCCATGGATAATTGGATTGCAATCCATTAGCTGCCAGCCAGAGGGGAACTTCTTTCCATGGATTTCTTCCACTCGTGCCCACACGTTTCAAAGCTTATTGTCTTAAATGTCACACTGTAGAATAAATGACGGAAGGTTAAGGATCTATTCAAATTTTTGGAGTGTATGTTCCACAGCTGCTCCCCTCCTTGGGCTGCTGGCTAAAAGAACTGCCTGAATCCCAGCAATAACCAGCAGATCACATCTGGATAATCATGTTCCAATTGAACAGACAACAGCCAAAATACGTTCGCAGTTCTACACCGTGAATTTTTATAGCTTATCTGTACACGTGTAGTCATTCCTGCCATCCTATCCTCTGCTCAGGATAAAACCAACAGACTTCATTACCAACGATAAACGGCCTGCTGCTAAAACCAGACACTGGGCCGGATCCTCAGCTGTACCCAGCTGGGATTGGGAAGGGAGGAGGGAAACGGCGACCAAAGAGGAGCCAGTAACAGCTCATCAATCCTGGAACTGGTTCCATGCCAATCCCAGCATCGCTCAGAGAAGGCCATGGGCGGCTCCGAGTTCCGCCAGCTGGCTCCAGCCCCGAGGGGGCCATCTGCCAGCAGGGTTGGTGAAGGACAGTGTGTGCCAGCTAGGAGACTTCCCCACTCTTCCAGGATTGTTAGAGAGAGGATGGCACGGAGTCACGGAGGTCAGAAAGTCCCATACTCCCAACTTCAAAGCAAACTCCATCTGGAAAGTGCAGCTGTTCTGCGAGGGAACTGAGCTGGAGCCTGGGATCGTGTTTGGAGCTGCAGTCACAGACTCAGTCCTACTCATACCGAAGGGTAAGTGTGGAAAATATCCCACATTTTCTACTCAGAATAACTCCATGATCAAGACTATTCTTGCTATAATTCTGAACGTTCAGTCTGACACAACAGTCCTCCCAGGAGAAAGATTAACATACCAAAAAGCTGGAGTAGTCAGGGCTTGGTTAAGAAGCATTCTTTGATCTTGCACGATTCAAAAAAGTTTAATTATTCAAATGTTATTTATAATAATACAATGGGATGCTGGCTGGGAAATGCATTTACATACATTAGATCTTCAAGATAGCCAGGAAGTCAGGATTTTTACTCGCCACACACCACACAAAGGCACATGATCTGCCAACAGAGAGCACTCACCAGGCTCATGTGTCTTTATATCTATGGGGATCTCTGCTTACCAGTATGGGGTTTGCTTAAAATTATGCAGACAGTAGTAAAAGGGAATAAACCAGATAAATTGCCTTAAAAAATACTGGTCTACAGTCACCTCATTTTGGAATATTACTACTTTTACGTCTCACACCTCTACCATTTAGTTAATGTTTTAAAACCCAGTTTCCCATTCAAAGTTCTTGCTCTTCTGTTAAACTAAATAAACCTGCCTTCCAAAATGGTTAAGCAGGGAAAACATGGACCATTTACAAGCAGTGCACATGCAAACCAGTTAGAGCAGAAGAGAGGGAATTAGGGAGACTGCACTGGAAAACCCGGTCACCTTTCCAGATTGAGTTTTACAGGAAACTCAATGCAACCTCCACCACAGCAAGATACTACCTGGAATTTTACTAAAGCTGCAAGGTCAAAAATGGGCCAGGGTCAGGCTTTTGCCCCCTGCAGCACAGAGAATGAAGTGTGCTGCTGCCAGAGGGAGCAAATGTGACAGCAAATGTGGCCACGTTTCAAACACAGAACAGAAATTAAGCTTTAATGAGCTCAGAAATATCTCAGTTCAGCCGATGAAACAAATTTTCCCCTCAATAAAAATCCATGTTTAACCAAGGAGGAACCAGTTACTTTGCTAAAATCAAACAATGTCAGGGTATTTTAAATATTTTAATATTTCAAGATGCAGGGGAATAAGAGGGAGAAAAAGTTTGGTGACAATTGGAAGAGTCAGACACTGCAAGTTGCTGTAAGTGCAGATAACCCCTACCCAGTCTGCACAGTACTGAGCAGTGTCACACTGTAAATAACCACTCCATCAACAGCCCAGGGAGAGAGAAAGCTTTGGCAGCTGTAGCAAGTGTAGACCTCATCCTGTGGGTCACTAATGCTAGAACCTTTGTGGTCTCCATCCATGAAAACAGGTCTGGATGGCAGCAATTCAATGCCAGCATCCTGCCTACATCATTTTCCTCAGGCTGCAAGCAGAGAAGATGCATTAGCAGCATTAGTGAGATGTCTGTGGGAGAAATGGTAGTATGGATGTGCCAGCTGAGATAAAATTTAGTTTGTTACAAGCAGCTCGTGTTGAAGAAGTTTTACAACTGGCAGCAGTTTAAGCAGGATGAGTGCAAAGATTAATTTTTGACAAGTCTTTCCAACTATTTGCAAAAAGGGTCTTCCAAGGCAAGAGATCAGATAAGAACAGCACAAAGGGAAGCAATTTGTCACATGCCACTACATCTCAAACCCACCTTTAGGTTCAGGATTAGTTTAGAATCACAGGGAAGTGCTCTTCTGCCTCTTATCAGTAAGAGCTATTTAGGAGTCTCCATCCTTTTCCTCCACCTTTCCTGTTTGAATGGACTCAGCCAGCAGCTCCCTCACTCACAGGTACTTTATTTCTCAAGGAATCTGTGAGTTATCACAAGCATTACTTTTCAAATAAGCCTTTGGTTTGCATAGTCGAGATAGAAACTGGAAAACCAGGACTTAAAAATTTAGGAATGAAATGGTGTTGTATGTACCAGGAAAGGGTAGAGACAAAAGCCTGAACTGCTCTATGTCCTCTCTCCCCTACACCCAAAGCTTTCTGAAATGCAAACTGCATACATTTCTATAAGCTCAGTTTAATATTTGTGACTTTTGATTCTCCAAAACAGTCTTCCAGTGCTTGCCCTGGCATTATTCTTACTAAATTTTTCAATTCCCTCGATTGTCCCATTAGCAATTAACTGATACCAAAAGAAGCAGTTTCTGTTTTGTGTTTTAAAAGCATGAAACAGTTTGTGAGGCACGGAATTCTGCAGGGGAAAAAAAAAAAAAAGGAAGATAAAAGCATGCCTTTGGCCTTGACTCTTTATTTTTTTTCCCCTCTTCCCAAAGACCAAACAGGTAGAAAAAGGCAGCAAAAAGAAGTGGTTACTCACAGTATGTTTGTCTGGGGCGGGATCTCGGGGATGGTTTCCAACATCAGATGCATGCATCGCACCGTGGTCCTGAAGCACAGGCAGCGACTGGGGCAGGAGCAGGAGAAACCAGGCAAGAGGAGAAAACACAAAAAGCCTCCAAGAGCTGAAGGTTTGATGAGCATGGTGTTTGCTGGAGTGCATTTGCCTCAATTCTGAACTGCAGGGAGCTGACAAAAAAAAGTTTCCCAGCCCTGAGGTCCAGGAGGAGGGGACTCATCAGCATGTGTTTGCAATTAAATTAAGGCAGTTTGACAGTCCAACCGCCCACCCCCTCTGCCATTATGTACATCACTGAAGATCAGACTGTCCCCACCCCTCTTTAATTGTGGCGCTGAAATATAAACTCTTAATTTTGATTTATTTTTGCCTTGTTGCTTCTTTCGAACAGCAAGTTAACTCCTCACCTCCTCCTGGTGCATTTGTCTGACAGCAGAATGCACCTTCATGGACAACCACCAAAAAATGATCCCGTGCTTCCAGGGCTGAGCTGGGATGCAAAAGATCCAGGGTCAAGATTTTTATGTCAATTTTTTTGCCTTAGCACACTCTGAAAACTAAGGAGAGTGTCTTATCCAACAGCCTGTCAAATGTATTGGGCACTAAGACTTTTAGGACAGAGGCTGTCTCTTATTACACGGAGTTACAACATCCAGTAAAAATACATTTCCAACCGTTGATGGGAGCGTGGAATGCTACAGATAAGTGATTTTAAAAGGGAGATCACTAACAGAGATAAATAACCTGCAAATAAAGACAAATCCCCATCCTGCAATCTGTAAAGTTTCTTACACAGAGTAAAAGCTGATTCATTTCAAAGACCTTTTGCCAAATACAATTTCTTTCTATAAGGATGCCATTTGGAGAAATGTCAGGATTTTGGAGACATTAAAGACAACTGAGGGGCGAAAAGGGAAAGAAACACTGAAATCAACTGAGTTAAGTCCTCTGTTTCTCCCAGTGAATGATAAAATTGAGACACAAAAGGCAGGATTTGTTCCCATTTGAATTAATCACCTTTGTAAAGAAGCTTAGACTGAAACCAGCTTGTCTTTAGCTTTGCAGTTATTACTACACAAGGTCCTAAATGTGTGGGTTTAGCATGAGGGAGGCACTAACACACATTAGGATATAAAGGTACTTGAGGAAGTACAAACACAGCACGAATCCACATTACCTGGAGGATCAAATGAAGGTTTCCCATGAACCTGCACATCTGCTTTAGACTGTAATCTAAAAAATAATTAATGTGACAGAGAAGCACTTAACAAAAGTGACATTTATACCTTCCTGGTTCATTTCTCCCCTCAGATTCTCTGTCACTTGTGCATTTGTGGAGTGCATTGGGTTTGGGCTTTCACCTAAAATTTCATGTCATAGAAGGCAAAATCACTATTTTTTTTCCAGCTATAAAAGAGCATTATACTGCAGGTTTTCTGCGTCTAGTCCTCAGGCAATCTGCTATTTGTTTGCCCGGACATCACTTGGAAATCTAAGCAAGTTTGCTGAACTCATCTGCTCCCCCTGTGGACCCGACTCATGGTTTTGGGCAGAGTGTCCTCTAGCGGCCACCCAACCCAACCCAACCTTCCAAAAACGGGTTGTAAAAGGCCAAATAATCAGCTCTAGCCTTTATCCAACACATGGCAGCTGAGATCAGAGTGCTCCGTGTGAATATGACAGCTTTTATTTCCAATTTGAGATGTCAAGTGCATTAGAAGCACATCCTCCACGTGCATCAGACAACGTGTGTTATATTAAAGTCTTCATGACTTAAGTTCTGTTGATTGCTCCCCACATCATCTCTTTCCAAAATACACTGGACTCTGTTAGGACAGGGTAGCACAGCTACTTGGGAGCTACTCAGTAAGTAAGTATTTCTAGGAAAACAAACAAAACTGCTCCCTCCAAACCACACCCAAGTATTTTGGACTCGTTATTTTCCCTGGCACACCCCGGCCACTTCGCAAATACGGGGCTTTTGCCTCCTGCCTCCGTTACATCTTGGTGCATAAACTCTGAGCTCTAAACCAACCCTCTGCAACAACAACGGCAAAAAAACCCCTTCTAGGTTGATTTATATTGCAGCAGGAGAGCTGGGCCAGGCCTCACTCAGGTTTCCTTACGTACCGTCTGGAATCGTATTTCAGCGCCCTGGCTGTGCCACGGGGGGCAGCTGCAGGAAGGATTGATGAGTATTTGCCCACTACTTTGTAGGCATGGGATCTTCAGCCAAGTCAGCAGATTTAACAGCAGCCATAGGGAATAATTCGAGTGCAAAAAGGCAAGTGCTGCAACCCCCACATTTACTTAGAAGCAGATCTTCCCTTGAACTCGAACCATACCTCTCCCACCTTGCTTATCTCCCCTTCACGACAAATGGGATGATTGTGGGATGTTATGAAACACCAGCAATCCCAATCCCCTTACTCTCACATTAATTTATCCGATTTTCCATCAACATGAAAAATTGTTTAAAAAGGAGTGTGCAGCTCTGAGCAAGAACCAGAAATTAACTCCTGAGCAACTGGAATTAAAGTTAACCCTTGTGTTCCATGCTCCAGCATTTCCAGCCTCTTCTACACAGGCTTTCCAAACCTGTAGAATGCAAGGAAGTTTGGGGGTTTCTCTCAGGTGTGGTTCTCCCTCCCTCCCTCCCCCCCTTTGTTTTAACTATCCATTCTGTCCCAGTAGAAAGACTTCCCTCAGGGGACTTACCCCCTCACTACATCCCAGGGAACTGTGATGTTTTACGTTTTGCAATGAAGTGAACATAAACATTATCTGACAAATTTAATTTCCTCAATACCATTTCCATGACACATCCATGGCTTTCCAAAGCAGAAAAGGATTTTCTTTCAGCAAGCATCACGTGAAGGAAAACATTAACGTTGAACTAATCTCCTGTTATAGCTGGTAAAAGGACATTTATCATACACACAGATGACAGGAAGAAACACACAGACAGGCAATTATCCTATGGAATAAAGGTTAACAGATTCATTTAATTAGCAACAGCTGTATTTGCTGTTATGATCAGTTGCCTAACACAGCTGAAGCCAAAACATTATTCTCAATACTAGAGAAATGAAAGCCTTGAACACCACCTCTCAAAAATCTGCATTAATTAAGCACTAAAGCAGAGCCCAGGGGACAAGAGGGGAGCTGCAGGTCAGAATGCACGGAATAAACTCCTGACATGTTTGGTTTAGGCAATTCCTTGAAGACCAGAAATCAACTGAATCAACTCTGGGTATCTGTTGTCCACAGGATGATCAGCCAGGTAAGTGAATTTTCTCTTTAACTGTTCTGATACATTAAGTCCAGATCAGTTGTGTGTGAGCTGATTCCAAAAATCATCTTGCACAACTGCATTCCATAAAGGTTTGGAACTCATCAGCTGGGCAGGTTTCTTTTGAGATTATATTCTGAGGAGTTCGTCTAAAACTATGCACCTGCACCAAGCGTTTTTTTCTAGTGTTCTAGTGTTTTACCCTTCAATTATGGAAATAAGTACTTATCTACAAACTATTCTAATCACAACATGATGCAAAGCCATGTTAAGAAGGCTAAAAAGTCTTTACTGAATTTATTGATACAGAAACACTTATTAATAAAGGTTAAATTGTGTAACACTTCTGCATGCCTCAGGCCAATTTAACTCTAGTTTCAATACAGAGATTTTTCAACTTACACACTCATGATTAAAGCAGCCTGAAGTTCAGTTCTTTTCCAAATTTACTGCAGGACTGAAACCTAAAAGGAGTCACAATAAAAGTGACGACTACTTAGAACACAAAAGGAAACAAAGCAGGTACAATTCCTAGACAGCTTACAGACCATACAAACTCAGCTCTAATACAATTCCTTTACTAGAAATGCCTACAAAACTACAGTGCAAGTGCTTGTGCACAGGGAAAATGTATTTACAGTTCCCCCTTATTTACAGGCTATTATTAGCAATACTATTTCACAGTTATATTACACATAAAATTTCTACTATGTGTTTGTCTGGACCTGTGTTTTTTTTGGACAAGGGGACAATTTGACAACTTAGAACATAAATTTCCTGTATATATATATTTATTTATTCAACTTCATTCAGGAAAAAAATAGCAGTATTTATGCATCTTATAGAAAGCTACAAAAATCTAGCAAATGTAATAAAAAAGGCAAATCTGGTGAAAAATCCAATAAATTATCTTTTACAACTGCCGCTGGGATGCGGAATAAAAATCAAACAGGGATAAATGAAAGATAATTCTCCCTCAACTGGTCAGCTCTAACAGAAGCTCAGGAAGGCTTCCTAGTAAGAACCTGAAGTTTAATGTCATTTTTAAGGGAACTCTTTAAAAGTTTAATAATTAAACCAAAGGATGACCTGGTAGCCAAAAGCAGGAGGCACCCTGAACTACAGAGAGGTGTGGAAATTGTGCCATAACACACAAAGGCACCTGGTATGACACCTATTAAGCAGAAATATCAAACAAATACAGAGGCCACAGCCTTTGGGGAGCACAGAGAATAATGACACATAGATTAAGCCTCTCTTTACCACCATATTCAGGATATTCATCTGTGGGAAGAAATCCATTGCAGTTGCCAGAATTACACGGTGGGTACGTGCACGTTTACAGGAAACCATCAGCTCAGTGGCCACAGAACTGCCCCACTTAAATTAGAGAAATAAAAACCTGAGGGAGCAAGCTAATTTGGGGTACCATTTAGATCAGAAGTGGAGACTTAGGAAACCAGAGGCAAAACACAGCCTGTGCCTGTGTTATGTGCCCACAGGCACATGATACAGTATTAGGAGATGATATTGTCAAAGATGCACAGAACTCCTATGAAGCAAGGAAGAGTTCTTCACTTCGGGCTCAGGCATACAAGAGTTATACATTTATTTTCAAAGCCACACAGAACTTTGACACACTCTTTATCATGAGGCAAGTTGTGCAACTCGGGACCATTAACCGAAAACCCGGCGTAGCTTTGGCAAGACGGTCTTTCTTTCATTGCTCCTCAGAGAATGAGGAGACAGCACATACACACACAAAAAAAAAAGATACCAAAGTGATACCAACTCTAGTGCTTCAGATGGGGCAATGCCTTAACACAGCTGCACCACCTACTCAGAGGGGGCCTTTCATCCCCCCCAGCTTTAGGAGTATTTCACATCAACACAAACTCAAGTTTCTTTCCAGCCTTTACCAGTTTAGGCAGATTTTTCAAACAGGCTGAACCAAGTAAAGCTCTTCTAAACATGGTATTTTTTGTCCACAGACACTGTGGACTCCCCGTCCCTGAAACTATTCAAGGCCAGGCTGGATGGGGATCTGAGTAACCTGGTCTAGTGGAAGGTGTCCCTGACCACGGGAGGGGGTTGGAATGAGATGGTCTTCAAGGTCCCTTCCAACCCAAACCATTCTGTGATTCTACAATTCCACGGTATCTCCTTCCACCACCACGACGGGAAGACTTGCAAATAAAAATCAGAGTTCACACCCACAGAACTGCAGAGTGTCAAGTCCTTCCACGTGAGCCTGTTAAAACACGTCTTCGCTGCTGCAGGAATGAAATAACGCACCAAGCTGAGCAACCTCGTTGCACACACCCCACGTGCAACTCGTGTGCACGAGTTGTATTCCAGTCACCTCACCCTGCCACAGCAGGGGCACACACAGAACACCTAAAAACTGCACCAGTCTGGCTTTCTAGGTTCTGTTTCCAGGTTCTAGACACCCTCCAGAAAACTGCATTGGGCTGATTTACCTCTCAGGCTGGCGCT